TTTATACCTGGAAGTCATACTGAAGAAATAAGTTTGATAACCAAAGCTAAGGTCAAACTTGAAGGCAATTTTCTTTAATATGCAAGCTGTAGTGTTATTAATTGACATAGCTTATCGTGTATCATCACTGACCTAAGAAACCTCTCACCCGCATACAAGAGGTGCTATTTATGCTGTAAAACAGAACACTGTAGGGCTCATAACGTCAAACTTTATATTGCTACATATATATAGCTCTCTCTATATGTATAGAGTATATAGCTTACATAATATTCCAGATAAACATTCACAAAATACTTTCTTGTCTCCTTATCACCATATTTAAGATTCAGATCTTCACCTTATTAAGTATCTCACCTTATTTTAATGTCTCACCAAGGAACAAGTCATTAAGTTTATGCTCAGTACACTACAAAAACTGATGATTTCCTTGAGTTAAGCTGTACATACATACATACATCATCTAAACCGCTTATCCTTCTTGGTCGCAGTGGGGTGCTGGAGCCTATCCCAGCTGTCATTGGGTGGAAGGCAGGATACACCCTGGACAGGTCGCCAGTCCATCGCAGGGCAGACAGACATACACATACATTCACACACACACACACACACTCACACACTCACACCCAGGGGCAATTTAGCACGTCCAATCAGCCTGACTGCATGTTTTTGGACTGTGGGAGGAAACCGGAGTACCCGGAGGAAACTCACGCAGACACAGGGAGAACAGGCAAACTCCACACAGAAACGGCCCTGGTCGCCCAGCCATTCTTGCTGTGAGGCAACGGCGCTACCCACTGCGCCACCGTGCCGTCCCCTGAGTTAAGCTGTATAACTCGTAAAAAAAATAAATATATATAACAGTAAAATAAAATAAACATGAAAAATAACAGTGATAAGTAATGTTTGGCAACTCAAATAATTAAGGTTTTCAGTAAACTCTTTGATTACACTCAATTTAATAGTGTGTTTTTCCTACTCCTCTGGCCTAATGATCATAAATTTCTAAGCTGTTTTTTTGGTGAAATCTATTATTTTTATTTATCTATGTTTTTATTTTTATTCAAATTCAGCTCAAATCTAGCAAATACAGTTCAATGATCTATTCAAAACCCGTCTTTCAGTTTGTCCTGTAAATCGTGACGCCTGTCTGTGACTGCATTAGAAGCTTGTTGAGAACTTCACACTGGTATGAGGTTCTAGCTGTGATCAAGTAGCAGCTGGTTGGCAGGTGTAACGTACGTAAACTCTGACATGAACTGTCTGTCCCTCGTGCTCTGTGCCTGTGGGTGTGGAGAAACCTGAGACACTGAACCAGAGACCAGCGTGAGGCTCCTCCCCACCAACCAGAGCCCAGCACATCTGGAACACGACAACATGCAGCTTTAGCAAAGCCATGCGCAGTCTGGAGGCTTTAGAGAGAGAAAAAAGAAAGCTATGCAAAATGGCTGACAAAAGCTGAATAGGAGGGATCTTCAGCATCTCCCTTTGCTTCATTCAGTATCAGCGCTGTGGCACTGAGAGGGAGGGCTTTATGCAGGAATTAGACTTTAATGAACATAGGAGACTTCAAAGTCGGGAACTTTTGCAGGTTACTCTATTTTTTCAACAACTATCTATTGCAAATGGTCATTTGTTTAAAAACATTTTCTTGTAGATGCCTCAAAACTCCCAGAAATGATTAGCTCCTATAAGTTTTCTCCAATAGTTTTAGTCAGAAATTACAGAACTACTTCTGCAAATTTAACTGCCAGTCCCACTTTGAAACCGAACCTGTCCTGTTCTGAGTCACATCTGTTCAGCTCTGTGATTCTTGCAGATCACACTCACTCTTTAAAAGAACATTTCTCTCCCAGCATTAGTCATAGCCAACATGGCTCTCTCCTGCCACATGATAGCTATTAACCCAGGAAGAAAGGCAACGTTGCAGTATTATGCAGTATTAATGTAGATTAAGGTCAAGAACATGTTCTCCTATAACGCTGCCATTTCAGAGATCCAAAGTTTAACCCCTTAAAATGCTAGGGCTCACCAACAGGCCCAAAGTTTTATTACATGCTTATAACCTAAGAATAGCTCTTCCAGTTTGCATTGAAGACCCTGTAATTACTGAATAATTAGCCTAAGTATGTAATAAGCCTGTGATTTTTAGGGGTTAATGACAACAGCAGCAATATGCTTCCTTTGTGAAGTGTGTAGTCCATCACTACATCTTTTAAAGAGCAGAGAGTTAACTGTCAGGTCCTGAAGGTCTCTAAATGGGACCTAATACACATCTCTGAGCTGGCAACCTCACCCTGTATCATTGGCGGGAGAGTAACTATGCCATCTTACTCACCCAATAAGAACTGAGAGAAACACTGTGCCCCTATGGACCCCTGGCAACAGATGGCATCTCTGGGATTTGCACCCAGGTCCTACACCAGTCTTTGTCAGTTCTGCCGTATTTCTATTTTAGAGAACTTGATGATACAAAAAATCCAAGAAAAATAAGACTAGGTGTTATGTAGCATTATTAACAGTGTAGTAATGGATTCCTCATGAAACGTCTAAACATCTATGTTACATTATTGGAACCAAAAAAGTCTTACATAGGATTCTCAGCAGCCTTACTATTGACATAAGGCGTTGCTCATGTAAATTAGTGTTTTGTCTCATCTTTCTTTTGAGGTTCTTAAAATGGTGTTTTCAGTTTTGAGCCTCTCAGAATGGTATTTTAATTGTAGATATACACCTTTGCATATGATTTGTACGTGATGTATGTATTCATATTTAAAAATGTTTCTTTGTGTTGTCTGAGGTTTAGCAAAGGCAGCTGCTTGAACTTTGGTAATGTGATGATGACTGTAAGTCACATTCACAGAGATTTGCTGGTGAAGCTGCCGCTGCCTTTGACGCCAGCGTCATGCCACTGCAGCCCATCCTGGCTGTGCTGAGTTGAGTGTTCTGTAGAACATGCTGCAGAGCAGAGCTGCTTGGCCATCTTTGAAACACATTTCCTCTTACATGCTCCTCCCCTTTAATGCTCTCCCTGCTTTGACTTCAGGCGAGTTGTCTGGATATTCCAGCGGTGACTAATATTTTTCTGGCTCACTGTGGAGAAGTCCAATGGAAAAAGAATAGGGCCGACGCCATTTTGAGAAACTTGTTTTTCTGTAGGTTTGCCGCTTTAGCACCAACAAAGCTGCTGTTCATGCTAAGTAAATGGTTGTTTGCACAAAAATACACACATGCATGCATCATTAGTAACTTTCAGCAGTTTATGGCTGTTCAAATAAGAGGGAACAACGGACACCAGGAAAGAAATGCTCTGTGTGTGTGTGTGTGTGTGTGTGTGTGTGTGTATGTGTGTGTGTGTTCTCATGCTCATGCTGTGCTGTGAAACTAGTTATGCACACCTAGTCCATGAACCTTCCCTTCCCATCCTGTCCAATTAACCAATGAAACAGTTGGTGGGCTAAAACAGCCCTCTGCACTTCATAAAAGTGTGGTACGGTTAAGAGCAGTAATGGCCTCACTTCATAACAACAGCAAGCCCATCATTTTCCTTTAATTACAGTGGGTCCTATTCAAATAGACACAAGAGGCTGAAGAGGTGTCTCCTGAACAAGCCAATAAACAGGGTAAGCAAGGCAATAAATAAGGTAAGCAAGGCAAAAGAAACAAAGCACATTATAATGACATATGTAACTGTCTCTTTAGGTGTAAACTGGAAAAACTGGGATGCAGTAAAATTCATACTGATAAAGACAGAAAACATAGGCCCAACAGGCTGTATACTTAGTCCAAAATGAATGCTTAGCTTAGTGTTGTGCTTGACTAAAGAAATAGGTTCACTAAGTTCATTTGGATCTACGAACCTACAAAATAAGTGTACATTTTTCATTATTTGCAATTTAAATGAGATGAACTGTTGCATATGCCCAGCTGCAAACTTGCTATTTTGGATTTTTAATTTTACTATTTTTTTATTTCGATTGAGAAGGGACTGTTTTGTGAATAGTTTTAAAACAAAGCAGGAGATGCGACAAATCTTTCCCACAGTAACCCTGAAACATGCTTGTGAGAGTCTCCAGTTGCACACTGTGCAGAGGCCTAAGTGCTGGAGCGTGAATGCAGAGGACATGTCTGGTCCTGTGGTCTGCCAGACGCTCTGCTGCTGAGCCTAAGATCTAAAACTGCATCTCTTTTATCTGCCTTTAATCCTCAAACCCAACTCCCAAAAGGTTTTTTAACCTCTTTAGTTGCATACCAAACACACACTGCTAGGACATCTAAGGAGGTTTGGGTGTCAGACGAGCTCAAACGGGGCAAATGTAGTGAACGCTTTGCATGCTTTACTTTTTACATACAGGCAGTGAGAGTGAGTAGAAAAAGCACACCGCAAAATCCCCAGTGCTGAACACCTATAGGGCCACAGAGACACATACAGTGTTTAATGAACTTTTCTTTGTGTCTGGCTGGAGGAATAAGAGTGATTTTAACACTGTAGGGTTAAGGGCTTTGCTGTATGCATGTGAAGAATGGACTGAAAAAAGAAGACAAAAAATTAAGCCCATCCTTGAGTGCACATGCACTAAATAAGCCCCCCAGTCTCTGCTGGGAGACCCCCACACATGACCGTCCCGTCTCTGCTGGTGCTCGCTCCCGCGTAAAATGCCTAAGAGCGCGCGCCGGTGCCACCGAGGAGCCCACTGTCCAGCCGAAGCCCTGCAGGGCACATCCCAAAACGAGAGCAGACCCAGTGTGCTGGCTCTGGGAGACAACGTAGAGCTTTAAAAACTCGACAATGTCCACGTCCTCAAAAGAATGGATCTCATTAAAACGCTGCATTCGTCATCACGGCCAGAGAAGCTGCCAAAAGAGTGAGGGAGTAGGCAGGCAAAGAGGGAGCACACGAGCAGCCTGCGAGTCAGATAGAGTTTCTGCGCTCTGATTGGTCCAGGGGCTGACTTTTGACACGCAGTCAAGGGAACCTCCTGCCGTATAAATAGGGCCGATTGGACTTTATTATTCTAGCATCACGGCAGCAGGTTCCTGCTCAGTTTGGAGTTACGTGTCACCACAACTGTATGCCTGCTTGAAGTAGCTAAACCAGGCACTGCGGCACAAGGAGTCTGCATGTCGGCCTAGACATGCTCAGCTTTGTGGATACCCGGATTCTGTTGCTGCTTGCAGTGACTTCATACCTAGCATCATGCCAATGTAAGTTTAACATATGCTCTTTTTTTGTTTCTGTTCTGTCTACCAAGGACGTTGAGGATTTGCTGCTGCGCTTGTTTGCCTTGGTTGTGCCCACTGTGCTTGGAGATGAGCTGAAGGACAGCTAAAAGCCCGTCTGAGGGACTTTTGCCATTGGGGGCTAATCCCACTGTAAAAAAAAAAAAAATCCAGAGGATTCTTTACGCTTTTAAAGGATTCTTCGTGTGTGGATATATTTCATCTCTTGCATTGAGAAATGAAGACGAGTCACTTAGTTTAAAAGGGCCATCACTGAAAGGAAGACCAAAAACCTTATTTTCCTTGCTTTAAATAGAAAGTGTTAAACGAGCTTAGCTGAAATCTATAAAAGTAAAGTTTGGGCGTTGCAGCCCCATCTTTTGTCCCTGGCTCTGGCAGCGTGAGTTTTATCCTAGGCGTAGAGTAACGCGCCACCTGCTGGATAAAGTGTTTCATAGCATATTTTGGCAGCATCCAAGATAACTTTTGCTTTAATTCGGCTGGTAAATAAAAAAAATAGTTAATACGTATCTTTGTGAACAAGAATTGCAAATAATACCTACTTTCAATTTAAATACGTAAAATATAGAGAATAGAAAAGTAACAAAGAAGTTACCTTTAGTGTCAAAACGATAAATCTTCCTCACATTAGTTTTTAACACGAAGGGCACTTTTCAAAGTCCCAGCAGGAGATTAGATTGCTGGCCTTTGTTTGAATTATTTGGATTGAATTTTTAAGTCGTCATCAAATTGGACCCTCGCACTCCTGCAGACTGTGCGGCAGAATTAAACTTGCGCAGACAACTTGTGCAAAACTGCGCAAAGGCGCCACCTAGTGGAAAATCAATCACATGACATCAGAGTGAGGAAGAGACCTGCAGTCCAGTTAACCCTTTCCTGAGGGGACAGAGAGTACTGAGGCCACTTTGGTGTCCCGGTTCCACGTAGGCTGACCGGAAGGCCTAAAAGGCCTAAACAGATGAGCAGGACTTGCAGTTTAAGGGAGCTTCTGGATTTATTGCTCTGTTCATGAGCACAATTAACATATTTATTTCCCCACAATAACTCAATAGTGCACAATAATAATAATAATAATAATAATATTAATAATCATATATCTCAATTATTATTAGTAGTAGTAGCAGTATTGATAATAATAATAATAAAAATAATAATAATAATAATAATAATAATATTTCCAGCATGCATAATGCCATGAGGGTCGTATTTTTGGATATATGTATCTATATCGGAATGGTGCTATCATAAATACACTTTCACTGTACTCACGTTATGAGTATATGATTAATGAGTCACTTCCTACATGTATTTAGACATACAACTATACAACTATAGCTTTAACATATGCAACGTTCCTCACTTGTTTACTTCAACACTATAAATATTCAATTCACACTACTAGAATCTAAAATCAGATATCAGTATCAGATTAGCACAGGTTCACCATAGACAGTTAACAACAACATGGCCGATCATCAGTTCTCAGATAACACTTCTTGAAGTAACTCAAACACACTGAAGCAGTTCAAAGCTTTATAAGACTGTTATTGTACAGTTTACAGTAGACTATAGTGGAATAATGAAGTGAAGTGATTATGTTCAGAGGGATACTCTGTGTTTACAACATATAGTCAATTGAGTATTTTTTCAAGTTATTGTTGTTTTGTGTTACTAAGATTTATATAGATGATAAAAAATTCTACAGCAATGTTAAGTTGAATATTTCTAACTGATCGTTTCTCTCTGTGTCTCCCTCTCCCTCTCTGTCCCTCTGTTTTTCCTCTCCTCCCCTATTTCATCACACAGCGGTCAGTACACTTGCATGGAATTGTTCTCTAGTAGTGCAATAGAAATTCTTACCTTTTTTGTATGTTTCCAAATTGGGTGATATTCGGTGAAAAGATCCTTGCCAATCTGACCAATCTCAAATACGCCACAGCATTTCATATTATTCAAATATTTCTGCAGTACTGGATTTCTTTCCTCTTTTCCTGTCAGGGAGAGGACTGAAGTTCTATTGGCTAAGGAGAATGTCAGTGAAACCAGAAACCGCCCACTTCTGCTGGGCAGACAGCTCGGACACAATGAACCTTTTTAGATGGCCCTCCGAAGGGGAGGCCTTTAAACAGAATCAACATGGCCCAGGAATTCCTTTAACGGAGTACGATTCTGTTACACAGCAGTGCTTTCAGCAGAGTGCTGTTGGTACATCTAGCCAGTATTGTCAGTATTTTGTGTTTGAGATTGAGGCAGATTGCACACCTGAATATCAAAAGTCGCAGAAGAAATGTATTGAATCTCAGCCATGCCTCTCAGTCTGACTGAGGCCTGCGCAAGTCTTTTAGCATCTTTCTTGAGTACATGTCACATGATGCACATCTGTGACGTCTAATCACGTGCCTGATCCAGTGCTATTTTGTTCTAATCAACAATACCAGAGCATGTGAAGAGTCAAAGAATGTGCATGCTTGTCTGAGTTGTGAGTATACACTAATATGCATGTCAGTGAGATGATACAAGGAAAGCAGAAAGAGCTGATATGACCTATAACCTTACACACTGAATGACATAGGAAACTAGAAAGATGGAATAAATAAATCTTGTATTTATTTATCTTCCTTTCTGTCTAGGCTTATGCAAAGGTGAGCTTCACTTCTTATGTTCATGGTGGTTGGTTGTAGTGTGGCATGTGTGAACATGAGACTGAAGATAGTTCATGCTTTTCACACTGATGTGTAACTGGCCCACTGAAATAAAGCTGAACCAAAACCCCTGAACTCATCTTTGTAAACAGATTTCATGCATCCCTGCATGAAGCCTTAAAGCTGGTTTTGGCTATGAAGCTATAAAGCTATAGTCATGAATGCTGTATTAAATGAAAGGCAGCTGATATCAGATTTCTGCAAGTGAATGAAAGCATGATTGCAAACATTTGTGCTGGCCTACCAAATAGATTTTTCCCAGTTGGTGATTATGATTTTTTTTTATAAATAGGGCCCCAGGGGAGACAAAGGACCTCGAGGTGACAGGGTAAGTATGCTAGACATATGATTCCTCAAGACCTCCAACAGTAGATTATTACAGTCAGGTACAGGGGACAAACAGTTGACCTGGCAACCCCAAAGAAGCCACACTCTCTTAGAAGAGACCAGGAAAAGCATGTTTTTGTCAGATTAATGGCTGAAATGTGCAGTAACAAAGAAAAAACAAGAATGTAAACAAATATCTGTGTTCTTTGCCACTAACTTTATGACCATTATGTTCTGCTTTAGTCTATTAAAATAGTAACAGTGCTGTAAAAGAGTCTTTTAAGAATCACTGGCTGGCTAGCTCTGGATGAGCTAGTCCTTTTTGGAGCTAGAGCGTTAGAGTTGATGCTGCTTCGTCTATTCTGTGTTCGACTTATAATGTCTAAACTCTCTTTTTCTGTTAGGGTCCTAAAGGACCAGATGGAAAACCTGGCAAACCTGGACTTCCTGGGCCTCCTGGCCCCCCTGGCCCCCCTGGTCTTGGTGGAGTAAGTTCACATTGTATATTTTCGCTGTTTGCACCTCAATGAAAGCAAGTGTGAGCTGTTATAATGTTCTAATGCTCTACTGACCTATTTTGTAGCTTTTGATTCACATCACATGACCTCTCACTAACCCACTGACCCAATGACCTTTGACCTTTTGAACTGTAATGGTCTTTGATGTTGTGTTAATGATCCATTAGTTCATTTGGAGAAGAATCTTATTAGGAGTCTATCAGTATTATTATTATTATTATTATTATTATTGCCTTTTCAAGGTTACAAAGGTGTAACATGGCCAATTTAGAGTATGAATACTTGTAAAATTGATTGTGTTCAGTTCCCCGCCTGGGCAAGCACACCACGCTATATCAATAAGAGTCTTTGGCCGAGACTCCTAACACAACATTCCTCTACCTCTGTGACATGATTTAGTTGTAAGATGCTCTGGATAAGAGTGTCTGCAAAATGTCATAAATTTAATATGTTAATGCATCTTCTGTGAAGATATTCTTTAAGCTATTTCTCTACATGTTTATTGTCATAATAATCTGTATTAGGCTAAGTAGCTAAAGAGAGTCATTTGCTTTGCCTTTGATAGAACTTTGCTGCTCAGTATGAGGCTAAAGGACCCGACCCTGGCCCCGGACCCATGGTGAGTGGCTGCAGTGTTACTCACAATGAAACAACAGAACATTGTAATCACAAAAAGCTTCAGTTACTCTCCATAAGGACCCTCAGAAATAACAGTGCATAAACTATACATGAGTAAATGACTTAATTAAAATGAATGCTCTAAAAATTCTTTTTTTCTTCTGTAAAGGGTCTGATGGGACCTAGAGGACCTGCTGGACCACCTGGTTCCCCTGTAAGTGGCTTTTGGCGTGATTTTATATGGATATAGATGCACCGTTATGGGAATGCTGGTCTAATGCCAGTATTTTTTTAGATTTAGATGCCAGTGCTGTCAAACATAATGTATAAAATGTAGAAACTGGGACTGAATCCACCTGGATTAGCATTACATAGAGAAATGTCTTCTAGACATTCTGCTCTTCCAGATAACAATAAATACATCATAATTTAGCAGTTTATCAGTCAAATCAATGATTTAGTTTGACGCTAATCTTTTAAAAACACCTATCTGGCTATACCAATATTCCAAGATCATTGTGCATCATTAAATTTCTGTTACAGGAACAAATCCAAATTTTGTATTTTTTCCAAATGTCTGATGGCTGTGCTGTGTTTGTCTTGATGCATAGGGACCCCAAGGACTCCAAGGACATGCTGGCGAGCCCGGAGAGCCTGGACAGGCTGTAAGCATATAATCAGCTTACATTCATTTAAATGGACTGATGACATACACAGGTCAGGACATACACCACTTCTAACCTTTCTTTCACTTTCTTTTAGGGTGGAGTTGGTCCTCGTGGACCCCCTGGACCTCCTGGCAAATCTGGTGAAGATGTGAGTAAAATATATATGTTTAGCTTATCTAGTTAGTGTGAAAGTGTGATATATTTTGATCAGCCTTGCAAAAAATATGTTGCTCCTAGTAGTATATAATGGATAAATTATGGATTGATAAATTAACCTGATGGCATCTTCTGTAATTTCCATGCAGGGTAACAATGGAAGACCTGGCAAGCCCGGAGACAGAGGAGGTGCTGGAGTGCAGGTAAGGCCAACCTCGATTCACGTTTCATTTACAGCGAGTAGAAAGGACCTGTTTAGCTAGTTTCAGTAGAACTGTGTTTCATTTATATCTGGACTGTAAAGACACATACATCATGCCATTCAGATGTCCAGGAGGACATTACTGATTACGTTATCACTGAGAAGAAACCTGTCTTGTATCTCGATACCACAGTATCTTGCATCTTTGTACTGCATACAAAGAAACAATAGATGAAAAGGAGAAATAAATATTAAACAGTTAATAATCTTCTTTTGCCTTCTTTTCTCTCCCCTCTTTAGGGTGCCCGTGGTTTCCCAGGAACTCCTGGACTTCCCGGCATGAAGGGACACAGAGTGAGTAGCTGATCTGAATGAATGATGATGTATTCATTCAGTACAACCTGCTGTTGATAGTGAAAGTCTGACCAAAAGAAAAAACACAGAAAGTAGATGGTAGATGGTGCATTAATTAACCTTTCTCTGTATCACAGGGCTACAATGGTCTTGATGGACGCAAAGGAGAGCCCGGTGCAGCTGGTGTTAAGGTAAAATCACAAATGATCTAGAGAATCAACAGGGTCAGTCAGTCACATTTTAAACATAAAAAACAAAGATAAGTTTGAATCAGAATTACAAAAGCAAGGGGAAAATGAGTTTGCTGTGCCAGGATCACTGTAAAAGTAACTGACATCATATAATGTATAAATGACTCCATGTTTATTAACTCAAAGCCTGTCTGTGCCTTATGAAATAGTACCTTCACATCTCCAAAGCTCTCAATTTCAGTTGTTTCTTCAAATTGACTACTGTATACAGGTTTGAACCCTTTTCTCTTGTCTCCGTTCCTGTGTTAGGGTGAGAATGGTGCTGCTGGTGCTAATGGAACCCCTGGACAAAGAGTAGGTTATCACCAGATTTATACCACAATATGAATGCATTTACATTTCAGCTTAAACAGAACGCCATTTCTATCTTATAACCTCAGATCTTATGCACATATCTAGTCCAGCCCACCCAATCATGACTAAATTGTTCTAATGATGTATGTGTGTGTTTGTATAGGGTGCTCGTGGTCTGCCTGGTGAGAGAGGTCGTATTGGTCCTGCTGGCCCAGCTGGTGCTCGTGGTGCTGATGGTAACACTGGTCCTGCTGGCCCTGCTGTGAGTACTAGACTCTTAGTTGACCCTTCCATTCCCTAGATTGAGCTTTTGGGTCCAGGTTAACATTGTCCTGTCTGTGATCTTTCTCCATAGGGTCCTCTGGGAGCTGCCGGCCCTCCAGGTTTCCCTGGTGCCCCTGGACCTAAAGTAAGTGTGTCTCTTTTCTGGTTGTCAGCCTGAGAAAGAAATGCGTAAATGTAGAAGTTCGATGCTTCAATTTGGTACTGACTCAAATTTGATAGTCCTTAAATTTGCTATGTCTGCATCATATGACACCTTATTGGTATTCAGTATTTCAGTCCACTTATTGGATATAACTGAAAAGCCTACTCTTGTTTACCTTACCATCTAGCATAAAATAGTATACATGATAGTGGATTGTGAGCTCATATCGTATACTGAAAGTGAGCGAAAACATTTTGGAACTACATTGGCTGTGTATAGTGAAAAAAAATCATGTGCTGAATTTAATTGTTTCAGATATGTACATTATTGTCACATGGATAAAATACACTGCTTAAGCACAGTTCTAGCCAAAAGTAAGTAATCTGAAAGACAGAATTGTGCTGATGTAATATATTTTGTCTATGCAGCAATGTTGTTCACATTTGAATCAAGTAAATTCAGTGCATGTTTGATTTAGGGGGCACATAAAAATGTCCTCCACTGCTCCTATAATCAAGAACCGCTGGCTGTGTATAGAGAATTCACTTGCAATAGCTGCATTATTCTAAAGATAATCATCCTGCTACTGTGACCTCATCATTATCACTTATGTGTTTTACAGGGAGAGCTTGGACCCGCTGGTCCCACTGGCCCATCTGGACCTCAGGGACAGAGAGGAGAGCCTGGACCCAATGGTGCTGTTGGCCCAGCTGGTCCTCCTGTAAGTAAATTGACATTTGGTTAAAGCTTCTTGTTATTATCACAGCAATGCACTGACACAATCTCCTGTCTCTTCTATAGGGTAACCCTGGTGCCAATGGACTCAATGGTGCTAAGGGAGCTGCTGTAAGTATTCAATAAGGACAAACATTCAGGATAAATACATCAATAGTTTGTACGTCTCCATAATCAGCCAAAATATTTGGATCTTAGCTGATCCCCATGAAGTTCTGAAAGACTACAGAATATACTGTACAGATACATGGAAGCAGGTGTTGTGCTATTGAAACACTCTGTCTCTGCTTTAAATATTTCTCCTATGTTGTAATACAGTTAAAATGAAGATAAATATATAGTTTGTGGTTTCATGGGCCAGCTGTGCTCCAGTGTGTTAAATAATAATGATATAAGTTGTAAAAGCAACTAAAATGTGTTGAAAGTCACTGGACAATGACAGTTTAGTGCTCTTATAATAGCAGTATCCAGGGTTTAAAGGGTATTGTGGATACTAAACATTCCCAAGATCAACTACGGTAATACAGAAAGAAAAGCACCATCTGCCAAACAGAACAAATTAGCATGTATGATACCCACTGTGGACTAACCGGATAATTTACTGAATGTGAGCCCAAAGCTTTTTGGAACGACATTGGCTGTCTAGTTATTTGACTCAATTCAAATGGCCTCCACTTCCCCATACTATGATGTTAGATGAGGCATTCCTTTATAGCCTAGGCCACTTCAGACCTAGTTGTAGGATTGGGCTACAAGAGTTGTCATGAAACCATGTCTTCCTATCTTATCAAATAATGTAATAGTTTCAATATTGGGTTTCTGTTTTTAGCAGTGGTAGGTTATGACTTCCTATGTGCTTTAAAAAAGAGGTTCTTCAAGGGTTCTTTAATAAAGGCCGTGGGTATAAGTGGTTCTTTGCATGGTTAATAGTTTTCTCAATGGAAAACCTGTTCTTTAAAGAACACTTTAAAAAACATACAGTACCAAAAAGGGTTCAGCTGTTGTTAGGTCATAGAGCCTTTTTGTTGGGTAGAACGTTTTTTGATAACAGTGATATCCTGACATAAAAAGCAAATTCAGTATTAGGCTACCATCTTTTAGAATTCATATTTAAATTCTTAGTAAAATAATAACATCATGACTTTGAACAAATTTTTCTTAAATTTATTCTAATGTTATACTTATTTGTCTGACGTCTCTTGTAGGGCGCCCCTGGAGTCGCTGGTGCTCCTGGTTTCCCCGGCCCTAGAGGAGGCCCTGGCCCCCAGGGACCTTCTGGACCTTCTGGCCCCAGAGGCCTTGCTGTGAGTTCCACTTTACCAGCCTCACCAGCTAGTTGTCTTTTTACAGTCACCAATGCTCACTAAAATTAGTTAAAATAACTGTGCTGTCTACATTCTGTAACAGCTCTGTGTACCAATGAAGAACTAACATTTCAATCTTTTTATTGCTTTGACATATAGGGTGATCCTGGACCCATTGGAGTGAAGGGAGATGCTGGTTCCAAGGGTGAGCCTGTAAGTACAATTAGGTATAGATGCATGTAAACAGATGTGCTTCATGTCCATATAAGTGGTAAAGAACAGGCCCTTTTCCATTGCTTCTCTGACCTCTATGATCTTGCTGTGTGCAGGGTAGCTCTGGTCCTCAAGGTCCTCCTGGTCCTTCTGGTGAGGAGGGCAAGAGAGGCTCAACTGGTGAGCAGGGAGCTACTGGACCCGCTGGTCTGCGTGGACCCAGAGTGAGTTGTGTTTTCTCAGATCTTTGGTAAAACCAAACAATTTATATGTACTTACATGTAGACACTACCTCTCAAATGCTTGAAATCACTGTTCAAAAGTCACTGTTCTTAGTGACAGAACACCAATTATGTTCCAGATACATGTATAAAATAATTCTAAATGCTAATGCTAAATGGCTGTAGCACTCTACAGCTTCATAATTTCAAAAAATTAGTTGGAGGTTCATAAGAAGAAACTTAAGATGTGTTCTGAATGATGAACAGAGCTATTAAGAAAGTGGTGATAAAATCTTGAGGTGAAAAATTATATATATAAATATATTTTTTATCATGTAATAATGTCATGTTTTAATTATATCTGGTCAAAAGCACCTTGTGGTGTCTAGTTAATAAAAGGTTATCAACTAAAACAACAGCAATTATTAATATGGCAAGTGATTTTTGTAATGTGTGATTTGTGATACCGCTTTCATATGTAGAGGGTTTCAATTTAAATACTGCCAGAATTGTGCAGATTCATTGACATCTGTAACCTTTCCCTTATAGGGTGCTGCTGGAACTCGTGGTCTTCCTGGTCTGGGTGGTAGAGCTGGCCCACTGGTAAGATTATGATGACTAGCCAGGTAGCTACCAGCGCCTGGTCAAAATTAAAGATTGTTAGTAAAAATGTTAGCTACACATCAGACAGTAAAAATGACACTGAGCACTTATGGTAACATTGAAGATTTGCTGGAGTTATATGACAAATAGTTGGAATGATAAGCTGAAATACTGCATACTCACAGAGGAATTAGTAAAACAAATTGTGTTTTTACCCAATAATGCACTTGTAAAGAGTGGAAGTTGTGGCAATGCTTACCTCTAAGCTTTCTCCCTCAGGGCATGCCTGGCCCAAGAGGTGGTATTGGTGCCCCTGGACCTCGTGGTCCCCCTGGTGATGCTGGCCGTGCTGGCGAGCCTGGTCTGACTGGAGCTAGAGTACGTACTTCACCAGGGCTAGAAATCATAACATCTATTATACGATACCACTACCATTCTAAAGTACTATACTATGGTACTATATACTGTATATACTGTAGTAGTACTATAATAGTACTTCCAGAACAGTGGTGAAAGTTTGAAGGACGCTCCATGTTAATTTCTTCTATCGTTACAGGGTCTCCCTGGCAGCCCTGGCAGCGCTGGACCCCCAGGAAAGGAGGGACCAGCTGTAAGTGTTCCATCAGCTTTACGGATTACATAATATTACATTACAAATGGACATAATTACACATACGTTACATATTTATACATAAATACTATAAGAAGACATCAGTGCAAAATCATAAAAATGCAAACAATGCTATCAAAATAAAGCTCCTATATAATTTACATTGTAATACATACTGAACCTCATAGATTAAAACAAAAACGCTTTAATTAATCCCTGCTACCGCGTGTCTCAATCTCCAGGGTCCTTCTGGTCAAGATGGTCGCACTGGGCCCCCTGGCCCAACTGGACCCAGAGGCCAGCCTGGTAACATTGGATTCCCTGGCCCTAAAGGACCATCTGTAAGTAAAAACATAGGACATCATTGTTGACAAAGTACCTGAAAATGTAGAATCGATAATAAATATAAAACAATGTTACAGTGATACAGAGAAAGAGATTTCATTGTATTATCTGTACTTGTTTTCAGGGCGAGCCTGGCAAACCCGGCGAGAAGGGACCCGCTGGTCCTTCTGGTCTGAGAGTAAGCAACTTAGAATTCGACATGCTTCATATTCATCAGTACTGATTTGTACTGAAACGCAATTGTGCATCCACTGATTCAACAATTTTCCTTCATAGGGTCCCCCAGGACCTGACGGCAACAATGGCCCTACTGGTCCCGTTGGACTTGCTGTAAGTAGACCAACAGAATGAGCCTATCAAATTGCTAGAAACCCACCTGGCAGGTGTGAGATTTGTTAATGGTGATTTGTCTCTTCTCTGCAGGGTGCCCCTGGTGAGAAGGGAGAGCAAGGACCCTCTGGTGCTCCTGGTTTCCAGGTCAGTCTCTTGATCACATTTTCTCTGACACGTTATTCAGACACAAATTGAGCACCGTCTTCGTCCTAGACATACTGGACATCTGGACATACCAATGCTAATATGTCCAGTGTGTAATTATGACATGATCATTTTCAGTAGAGCTACATGCTTTAACCCTTTGATTCTGAGGCACAAATCTATTTCTTCCTTCAAATCTACTCTTCTCCTTTAATAACATGATTTCTGAATGCTGTTCTTGCATTTATATGTAATGAACATGATCTAGCAAAACCAAAAATTCACATATAGGTTTTATTCTTTAGACTTCAGTTGCCCTTTAATTTGTTACTGTGATTAAACAAATCAATAATAAGCTCTTAGTTTTGCAAATTCAGTTCCAACTGAAAGTTTGTGCAAGCTCACTCAGACACTATCACAGTGCATCCAACAATAAGTTGTGTGTCTTTTATATAGTGATAGAAAACACTGTAGCACACAGAATGCTTCAGTTCCACACCTTACCTCGTTTCTATACATTTCTCTACGGCCAATATGGATGTGCATGCATTCAGATTTGAATAACTCAAAATGGAACAATGCCAAAGTACCTAAATGTTTAGCAGAAGAAACATTAGGTAAGAAGTAACCTGTATGTCAATGAGTAGTGCCATATAGCTGACACTGGCTTTAATATTTGCTGAGTTCTACAGAATGAAAGTCAGGAAATTCTCCTTGTAATGAAGGATCACTTAATCACTGATCTCATCCATACAGGGTCTTCCTGGGCCTGCTGGACCTGTTGGTGAAGCTGGAAAGCCCGGAGACAGAGTGAGTTTTTCATAAATGTCCATAAGTGTCCTTTGTCGCAGTTCAGACAAGAAACTAATCTCACTGATATCTTTCTTTTATTACAAGAATGTTACCATTTACCATTGTGCACTGTTTACTAACAGGGTGTCCCTGGAGAACAAGGTGTTGCTGGACCTGCTGGAGTAAAGGTATCTTACCTTTTTCTGCCACTGCATATACATTTTTAATCCAAAGACAAGTGTCCAGATTAAAAGCCATTTCTCCCTCTGCTTTGTTTCCATATAGGGAGAGCGTGGTAACCCTGGACCTGCCGGTGCCGTTGGAGCCCAGGGACCTATTGGTGCTCGGGGACCCTCTGGCACTGCTGGCCCTGATGGAAGCAAGGTATGCTGTTATCTGTAGTACTGCTTTATAGTAATAATTATCCATAGTCCATGGATTGGAAACTTTTTGTTTACTACGTGCCGGGGTATTTTGATTAGACATGCTGCATGATTTCCATTTTAAACATGGCTTAAATGTCAAAGTGAGCCTTGAAAGGTGCTGATGTTATACTGTTTCACCATTGCAACTCCTACCATCCTTGTCCTTAAGAGAAAATCTTTGTTTTATCTCAGGGAGAGCCTGGCTCTGTTGGACCTGCTGGTGCCCCTGGACCCCAGGGAGCTGCTGGTATGCCTGGTGAGCGTGGTGCTGCTGGTACTCCTGGCCCTAAGGGTGAGAAGGTCAGTTCAGGAGACAATTATCCATCTTCCTTTTATTACACCTTGCATTTACAGAGCAGGTACTGCTGATCCAACTCTAGCCTGTTCCTAACATTTCTAATTATAGAATAACATTAATAGGACCCTCTTGAAATCATAGAATTTCTGACTGTTTCTGTGGAAACAATACTGCATAATGGAATCACAAACTGTCGTGGTGTCTACATAAAAGCACAGAATCCCAAAGATCTAATGAAGTTTCTCTTTCATCTGTTTCACAAATAGGGTGAGGCTGGATACAGAGGCTTGGAGGGCAATGCTGGAAGAGACGGTGCCCGTGTAAGTTCCAACTCGGGCTCCTTGAAAGAAATATTGCAATATTTACTCACGTTTTATATTGGAATGTTATTTTCTATAGCCACAATCTTAAATGCATTTTTGTTGTTGATTACCAGGGTGCTCCTGGACCCAGTGGACCTCCCGGACCTGCTGGTGCCAATGGTGACAAGGTAAATAATATTATCAGCGCTTCCTCTTTACATTTGAAGAATGTCTGAAAATATTAACATTCACCACAAAACAATGGACAACTTGGCATATTTGTGTGTCAGAGATTGTTTTCCTTGTGAACATCCTTGGAACCTCAAAACTATTTTGTGGAACATGAAAGCTATATTCACAATGACTCCATGAAGAATGGCACGACATCTCAAACTGAAGAGATGGAGAAGATCAAGAAATTTCCTCGAGCAGGATTAATTGAAGCGCTTGCTTTTGATCCATTTCAGAGGGTCTGTTATTTAGTAAATTGGCCCTGTGGACACTGAACGTGTTTATGACCTCTCTATTGCCCTCTGCTGGAGAGGCACAACAGAGCTGTGAAGTTACTATGCTGCAGATTGGGTGACTAAGCATGAAAAGAGTGCTAAAATCAAAGTATATCAGACCTCTGATACATTGTAGAATTTACATATAAGATTCATATCTATATAATAGAGATAAATATTATTTATATAGTTGATATAATTTATGTATCAGTCTAAGATGACTAGCCATGAACCTGCAGCTGTCAACAAACACCCCTGAGTCCATCAGCTTGCCAGTTATCAGCCTCTAAGGAAATTTAAATTACATATTAGAGATCTGTGGAGCCACTTTATGTCAGATTTTTACTTTTATGGATGGTCTCTGCAAGATGCCAAATCACAACTGATATGGTTCACCTATGGATGGCTTGACAGTGGTCTGTCATGGGGGATAACATGCTTTTCCTGCCCACCCTTTTCTGCATGAAGTGCAACATGCACCTGGAAGCCTTACTTGCAAGCAGCATTGCTGCATCCTCTTTATAAGGTAAAACCTTGATTTTGCAGTCTGGATGAAAGGAAGAACTCATTCAGTAGAAAAGAGACTACAGAAGGCTGGTCTTTAGGATCATAAATCCATGGTATCTACAGTTTGGATCCTTCATTGCTGTGTTCTAATTCAAATGGGACAGTTACCCTAGGTATCAAAACTGAGCATCATCATCATCTTTAGGAAATCTTTAAGCATCATCTTTAAGAAATGTTGATGTTGTTTGTCCATTATTGAAGGAACTGGCATCCATTTTTGATTTGAAATACTTGGTGAGATATGAAAATGAATTCCTTGAACATCAGCAATTCAATCTACACAAAATGAGATGAACTCTAGAAATCTTGTTGTGTGATGTTCTTGTGTATCATTTCTTTCTTTTTTCTTTTAGCCCCCACACCTTCACTTTTTAGGACACTAATACTATTACTTTATTTTTTGGCCGATACGTGTACTGTTATATTTTACTTACCTTACTTTTTTTTCTTTGAAACCCTCTTCTCAATATACCCTAAAATGTAGGAATTGTTTTCTTCCAGGGTGAGACTGGCTCCTTCGGCCCTGCTGGCCCTGCTGGTGCTCGTGGTTCCCCTGTAAGCTTTATTCCATCACTCACAACACATGTGATCTACAATCTGATATAAAATTTAATTAATTTGTTATATTCATTGTGTTACTAATACCACTACTGCTGTAATTATTCTTATTTCAGGGAGAGCGTGGTGAGTCTGGTCCTGCTGGACCTCCCGGATTTGCTGGACCCCCTGTAAGTGCACCTGAATCTCTTTTTATCAGCATGGAGGACTTCTTTTTTCAGAATTTGGAAGACTGATATAATTCCATTGGCTTTTGCAGGGTGCTGATGGCCAGACTGGAGCTAAAGGTGAGAAGGGTCCTGGTGGTGCTAAGGGCGATGCTGGACCTCCTGGCCCCGCTGGTCCTGCTGGTAACACCGGACCTCTCGTAAGTGCAAATAGCAAAACTAAGTTTAAGAAATTCAGGTCAAAACTTAACAGAGCAGAAGATGCTTAGCTTATGAAATGGAACCCTCAGAAGTCTACAGTTGTTGTACCATTTACATGTAATGACATTATTACATAATTAATTGCATAGTGAGTTAAGCAATTAATCACGTTTACCTTCAGTTTACATTCTGTATCAGCAGGTTCAAATCTGTTTTTCTGTTTTGGACAATGTTAAACGATGGTAATAATATGGGAAAACTGTTTTTTTTTCCTTCCATAAAACAAAAATATTGTGCACAACACTAACTTTTTATAAATTCAGATCATAATCTTTTACTCACAACACAAATGTGTTATCAAATGAAAGTTTAGAATCTGCCCTTTCGACAGAATTTCCACTCGTTTCAATGAGCTACAAATAGGAGATAAGAAATATAAAATTATAACATGCTTTTATTATCACTGCTGTAACTGTGACTTATATTGATTAACATCTTCTTTGCGATTCAATCTGTAGTCAGTAGCTTAGCCATGAACCATGTGTGCCTGTTTTACTGTTGACAAGATAGACAAACTTCTCTTACAACCTGTTGAATTTTCTTTTGTTTCATTAGGGTGCTGCTGGCCCCGCTGGCCCCCCTGGTGCTCGTGGTGACACCGGACCCCCTGTAAGCTCTTTCAGGAACTTTTACAAGATTATCCATGAAATTCTCATAGTTCTTGTTTCTCCCGTACATTGCTCATATGTAACATTTTACCTTTCTATTTCAATCCCAGGGTTTGACTGGTTTCCCTGGTGCTCCTGGCAGAGTTGGACCTCCTGGTCCTTCTGTGAGTATTCTAGTATCAACACCATCAAATGCTCTCTGAAGCTTTTTGGAGTTTCCTACCCTGGGTGCAATATCAATATCCAAATATCAAGGTTGAACCCAGTACATGTGATCATGGGCTGGTTTAATCTGAGATGCCATAATCATAGGATTCATTCTATCTGGACCAAAGACAAATCTTGCATTCTCCTAATCCACAGGGTATTGTTGGACCTCCTGGTCCTACTGGTGCTGCTGGAAAGGATGGTCCTCGTGGTCCCCGTGGTGACGTTGGACCTGCTGGACCCCAGGGAGAGAATGGCCTGGTTGGACCTCCTGGTCTGGCTGGTGAGAAGGGATCTCCTGGAGAGCCTGGTACTCAGGTACATTGATATGTTTTCCCTTAACATTCTAATTCAGTCTTAAGCCATGAGTCCCAGTTTGCGTGCAGTCTGTTAGCAAATTGAGACTGACTGTTAGGGCAAAATCTGTACTTAACCACAGGGACCACCTGGAGCTCCTGGACCTCAGGGTCAGCTTGGATCTCAGGGATTCAACGGTCTTCCCGGCTCCAGAGGTGAACGTGGTCTTCCTGGTGTTGCTGGTGCTGTTGTAAGTTTCTAAACAATCTTCTGACCATCATCAATTTGAATTTTGCTAGCTTTCTGTTAGCTTCATAGTGCACACTGATTTAGGCAAATAACCAATTTAAAGCCTTAATGCTGCAGCTCTCTTGTTAATGAGATGTGTTTCTCAGGGTGAGCCTGGCAGAGTTGGCCCCTCTGGTTCCCCTGGCCCCCGTGGTCCCTCTGGTAACATTGGATTGCCTGGTCTGACTGGTCCTCAGGGTGAGGCTGGACGTGAGGTAAGCTGACTGTACAAGAATCAGGTTTGGGAAATGTTGCATTTCAGTGGTTCCCAACCTGTGGACTACAAATATGTTACACTGAGACATGCACATTATGGAAAGTTATTTGAAAACAAACGTTTGAAAAATCATCTCTTAAGAATAATTGCAAAAAAATGTTAATACAAGTTGTAAATATAGGTAAACCGATGGAACTCATGCCACTTCATTTTGTGTAGTTGTTTTCAAGTTAATAGTGGCATGAGTAACGGTTAAGTGCTGACTATTTTGATTCATACTCACCATGTTATCATGATGGCTAGTGGTTACTACAGTGACATGAGTGAATGACATATGACAAATTAGATACTGAGGTCCACAAATGACTTTAGAAGCCCTGAGTAATCACACGTTCGAAGCTTTTCATCTGTGCAAAACCAGCACAGATGTTAGAATAATGTTTCTTTAATTACTAAACACTGGCCTATGATATTTTTTCTTTGTTGATTTTAGTGACATCTACTTCATGGTTACATATTACGTGTTTGCTCCCACCCCACAAGTTCACAATGAATCACAGATAAGGCATAGATATGGCCTTACCTATTAAATTAGCTTTGATAGTAGAATCTCAGTATAGGTAAATGCACAAAAAATGTTTTATTTCCACAGAAACTAACAGACAGAGTGCGTTAAGTCTTGAGTAACTGGCTATAGAAGGCAGAATATGTGTGTATGTGTGCTGTCTTAGATGCTTCATTTGGGCATTCATGTAATACAGACTTTAATCAGGCTTTGCAAACTCATATACATGATCATTTACATGAATAACCATCATATATGCAAAATCATGCATTATACAGTTCCTCTCCAAAAGAATCATTCACAAATTGTGAAACTGTATTTTTTAATGGATTTACTAAAATGTATCCGATGTACATTTAAATCTCCCTGAAAATCACAAATCCCAAGAATCCTGATAATCTCAGGATACATGGGCTACAAGTTCAAAAGGCAGGTAACTCACTCATTACAGTTCTTCAAATGACTACACTTTTTTTTTTTGTTCCTTTTATAGGGTAGCCCTGGTAATGATGGTCCACCTGGCCGTCCTGGTGTTCCTGGTCTTAAGGTAAAGGGTTAAACAGTTTTTGGAAGTGACCTATTTTCTTTTTGGATTATGTAAGTTTCTTTCTTTATCTTAGACTAATACCTCAGACATATAATAACTTGGACATATTAATTAATTTTAAGGCTTATTATTCAGTGTAGTTGTGAAATTATGGTACTCAGCCAAACTAGACCTGTGGATGGTTCCTTAGACTTTAAGTGGACTGCTTTAAATTGACAGGGTGATCGTGGTGAACCTGGATCTCCTGGATCTATCGGACCTGCTGGTGCCTCTGGCCCCGTTGGACCCAGTGGCGCTGTTGGCAGACCTGGAAACCGTGGTGAGACCGTAAGTGTCAAAGACTGAGGCACAGTCACTAAAAGTACTGGATGAACTCAACACATTTGCTCTAGACAGTATTACTATGGTAGTAGCTCTTCAAATGTTATTGACACTATGGCTTGTTTCTATATACAATACCATATATGTATGTAATACAATAGGCTCCAGTCCCTTAAAATCCCTCTAAATCTTCTTCTGTCCTTTCCTTTAGGGACCTGTTGGATCTTCTGGAGCAGTTGGCCCTGCCGGTGCAAGAGGTCCACCTGTAAGTGAAAGAATTAATAAAGGTCCTATTTTGTTAATGTGTTCTTCCTGAAGGACACGTTTAATAATATTGAAGCCATATTTGGTCCTCTCAGTGTTAAGCATTCTGCCTGATTTCTGCAGGGCCCTGCTGGAGCCCGTGGAGAGAAGGGTGTGGCTGGAGACAGGGGAGACAGAGGCCTGAAGGGACTGCGTGGACACCCTGGTCTGCAGGGAATGCCTGGACCCAACGTAAGTGACACATCAGGGTCATAGTTAGTTATATATTTTAAATATATAGTTAGTAACAGACTTCCAGGCTCAGCAGTCATTTCCTCATGCGTCTGATTTTGACAGGGTCCTTCTGGTGATTCTGGACCCGCTGGTCCTGCTGGTCATGCTGGTCCCAGAGTAAGTAACTTGCCTTTTATTCTGATCACATAGGTGTTTTAAGGCATAAACCTTTGGGAAGTAATCAGTAACCTTTCTATTATCCACCTTTAGGGCCCAGCTGGACCCAGTGGCCCACCAGGTAAGGATGGTAGACCCGGTACTCATGGAATTATGGGACCTGCCGGCCCCCGTGGACCCCAAGGACATGTTGGACCTGTTGTAAGTAATACCTTTTTTCCCATAGGCTGGAAATAGTGTACTTAAGAATATCTGCATGTATCTTGGAGAACTGACTTGAGCACAGAATAACCACCACGCTATCTTTGTCTCTAGGGACCTCCCGGATCTCCTGGTCTGCCTGGACCCCCTGGTGCTGCTGGTGGCGGATATGACATTTCTGGTGGCTATGATGAGTACAGAGCCGATCAGGCTGCTCTCAGGGCTAAGGACTATGAGGTGGATGCCACAATCAAATCTCTGAACACTCAGATTGAGAACCTGCTCTCCCCTGAGGGATCCAAGAAGAACCCTGCCCGCACCTGCCGTGACATCAGGCTCAGCCACCCAGACTGGACCAGCGGTAAGTAGCAAGGATGTAAATCTCTGACCTCAACATGATTCGATTTCATTACAGCTCTTTAGTAAGTGATTGAGTGCATCATGAAAACTTCCTCCTTTGCAGGATTCTACTGGATCGATCCCAACCAGGGCTGCACCATGGATGCCATCAAGGCCTACTGCGACTTCACCACTGGCCAGACCTGCATCTACGCTCACCCAGAGAGCATTCCTCGCAAGAACTGGTACAGAAGCTCCCAGGAGAAGAAGCACGTCTGGTATGGCGAGACCATCAATGGTGGCACCGAGGTGAGTTTGAGAACTTCACTTCTTTTAGGTCAGGAAGGACTGTCACCATATATGATCAGTTATATATTTATGAGCTGAAGATACCTCTGGAGAATATTTCACAAAATACTTCTGTGCAGTTTATACTTACTTTACATTGTGTCTTACTTTCATTCTCTTCAGTTCGGCTACAACGATGAGACCCTGAGCCCACAGTCCATGGCTACACAGCTGGCCTTTATGCGTCTGCTGGCCAACCAGGCTGTCCAGAACATCACCTACCACTGCAAGAACAGCATTGCCTACATGGACGCTGAGAACGGCAACCTGAAGAAGGCTGTTCTGCTGCAGGGCTCCAACGATGTGGAGCTCAGGGCAGAGGGCAACAGCCGCTTCACATTCAGCGTTCTGGAGGATGGCTGCACTGTAAGTTCAATGTTCATCTCTTAGTGTATTAATTCACGAGTAATATATATATATATATATATATATATATATATATATATATATATATATATATATATATGTGTGTCATCACTGTCATAAGAAAACTTTAAGTAACTTTTTTATACCAGCTGCTCTTTACATTGTGTGAAGAGATTATGACGAGTGGACCAACAGAAATCCAGAAAAGCAAACCCAACAAGTCACATCAGCAGATGTTAAAAATGTTTTTCCGTCTACTATATATATATATACGTTATATGTATACCATATAACCATCTTATGACAGTGATAATCTATGTTTATGTTCAGTAAACACCTACATCTTATTATGTTTTACTAATGCCTTTTTTCACTTTTATCCCATGCCCTCTGCAGAGACACACTGGCCAGTGGAGCAAGACAGTCATTGAATACAGAACAAATAAACCATCTCGCCTGCCCATCCTCGACATTGCACCTTTGGACATTGGTGGCGCTGATCAAGAGTTTGGTTTGGACATTGGCCCAGTCTGTTTCAAATAAATAGACTCATGATAAATTAAAAAAGAGAGAAAGAAAGAAAGAAAATAGAAAAAATCTCTGCCCTTCTTCTCTGTGTTGTTTTTTATACTGAATGCTGATTTCCTCTGCACATCCACTTGCTTAAGCTGGGCTCTATCGGAGAGGACCAATGGACTGAACGGAGCGTTGCACAATGCAAATTAATACAGCTGCCCAAAGAGACGCTGGGAAACATCATGGTTTGGGACATGCCATCATTTTGTAAAAAATGAAAGAAGTGTAATAAAAACAATGAAAGTATGCATCACTTTGTGGTCTTTCTATATCTTCCAAAGAGGAGGTTTAAAACCACAATTTCCAAAAGGTTTAAACTACCTCATGCCTGTATAAAGAAAATAATATTACCAAACCTGATCCACATCCTAGATGTTAGTCGTTGGTACTAAGGCTTCAAGTTCTGTCCTGTGTCAAAGGTGCTCAAACACTTGAAGCGGGAATATATGGTGCTACACATACAGCTGTGGAGGAAACCACTTTACTGTATTACTTTGTATTGTCTTTACAGAGTGTTTCACAGGTCCCCCTGATATAACCCCATTTTTAAGCAGGTGGAAGAATTCCTAAACCTGATGTTTGTCCGGTTTTTACCTTTTTTGTTTTGGTTGTTTTTGTTTTGAGTTTTGTCTGGATTTCTCTTTTGTTCAGGCATTTAATTCCACCATCCCCCCCAATGTTCATACTGACAGCACATTTCGTCCATTTGAATGGGTTTTGGAGGCCTCTCTCTCTCAAAATGAACCACAAAGTTTATTGTACCTATTTTGTATATGTGAGATGTTTAAATAAATTGTGAAAAGTTCTGAAATAAAGCATGTCCATTGTTCCGAAACACACCATTCCATGAGTTAAGTGCTTTAATGTATTTAGAAATGAAAAGTCCAAAATTGAGCATGAGTGTGATGTTATGAATTCAGAACTTTTAGCTGTTAAAATACAAGTAAAATGATAACAAATGATCTGAATGTCTTTTGATCATTAAGAACTTGATTACAGTGACAAGTTTCATTCAAGGCAAAGATGCTTGTCGTTATTTTCCATCATTTCAGATCTTGCAGCTGAATTATCTGAAGAGCTGTCCTCCCATGAATGTTCAGTTATGTGTCTTCACATTATTTCTCACAATTGCATTCAATAAAAGGCAGCATTTGCATCCTTTCCAAGCATGTCTGTATTTGTAGAGGCTCTCAGAGGAAATGATTTCATCTTTCACTGGTCATACAGCATAAAACATCATTTCATCATTTCCACTGGAAATTTTAATAGTAAAAGTAAAAGAAATGAAAATGAATTATTCTGGTATAACAGATTGCTTTTTCACATTGAAGCTCCACATAGTAGCTATGCACTGACAACATACAGTTTATGATTTGTTCATTTATATATGTATTTAATATTATTCTAATATTAAACAGCCTCTAAAATGATCCAGAAATGCTAATATCCACACACTGTTTACAGTACGGGTTACAGTAGTGGGAAATAGCCCAAGGTCATGGTGATGCCACATTTTATTTTTATTTGCTGCAATTTGAAATGTTTGCTAGCAGGGGAAAACCAGCCAACATGGACTCCATAGACATAATGTGGTGCAAGATGTTTCTTGTTTTGAGCAGCCAAAGATGGGTTATCAGTTAAATGGATTTTCTATACCATTTCTATTTTATTTATTTTTTTTACATTAATTTTTATTTTACTTGAATCTATAACAAAACTACATTTTGGATCTGCACTACAAGATTTTACAAATATTGCATGAAGTAGATTTTTCAGGGGCAAAAATTGCAATTGATTTATAGGACTTCAACCAAGGATAAGCATTCCCTTATGGGTATGGTTAAAGTGTCCACTCATCACTGGATATATAAGCTACGGTCCACTCAATGAATATTTAAGGGCACAATAAGAGTTAATTACTCATGTTATGTACTCACCTTTGGGGTTGCACTGAAGTTCTGTTTACTCCTAGTGGAAATCATTTTAAAAGTCTGAATTCTGCTTCAAGCAAATTTCTTTAGAAAAGTACCTGCACAGCAGCAGAACATGTAAGCAGATAACAGTTTAGCTACTCATCTGTATGGGAAAGATGACAAACTAAGTCACTGTAAGTTACATGCAGTGTCCACAAGATGGCACGTGCGTTTCTTTGCACTTACCGTTTAATTTCATGGACGGACATGGCTTCAAAATATTTAGAGCAGTTTGGCTTCAAACCCACACTGCAATTTCTAACCCTTATATTACCACAGAAAAACTATGAAATGACATGAATTATAACTAGACATGTCACATGCCTTATTTAATTTAATCAAAGACATTCCAGAAATGCTGTGCGTCTCTTTCCAATCACTCATCCACTTTCCCGATCTCTGAAGCCATTTTGTCAATGCCATCATTATTTACACATCTGAAAGAAAGAATAATGTTTGAAACAACTTCCTTTCTCGACACTTTACCTTCACTTTACATCACACACACATACATACACACAAACACAAATGACAAAAAGGGGAAAAAACACTCTACTCATCATTAAAATCAATCCACTGAATTATGAAACATGAGGTTTCTCAATGTCATATCTCAGCTGACATTTTCCCACTGGCCAAGAGTGTTCCCTGCTAGAAAAACCAGCATAGATCATCATGCCTGGTCACCAGTAAAACCAACAGTTGTTGTGTTTTGGATGCTGGAATGCTGGTCACAGCCATGAAAGTTAATATGCTGGTCACCAGCAAAACCAGAATACACTGTGTTTTGGATGCTGGTATGCTGGTCAACCAGCAATACCACAATGGGTGACCAGCTAAACCCCCACTTAGTTATGCTGGTCTGTGCTGTTTTTTTTTCAGCAGACTTATTACAGCTTACGAATACGTACTGTTACAAGCCGCTATATTATGGACACAAACTGCCCTGCTGACACACAAATGTATTTATTAAAAGTGTGATGTGATGTGCAGTGACAAACACTTTTGGCTGAGATCTGATGCCATAATTTCACTCACATCAAATGGGCCCCTGATGTTTTTGACATTTGGCCAAAAGGTGGCACCATAAATGCGTTTTCTCAATATTGTGGTGTGTTCATGAAATTTTACATTAGTTGTCGGTTACTTGTTCTTTGTTCTTCAGCAGTTATTCACAGAGTCATTCTGCTAAGGATTCTTATAGTGAATGGCTGAGCTAGGCCTGGGCAGGGGTTATGTGCGTGTGTGAGTGGAAAAAGAGAGGGTCTGACATGAGCTGAGTAGCGAAAGAGCTGTTAGTAAAGAGAAATGGACTGGCGACCTGTCCAAGGTGTTTCCTGCCTTCCGCCCAATGAGCGCTGGGATAGGCTCCAGCACCCCCAGTGACCCAGGAGAATAAGCGGCTTAGATGATAAGTGAGAGTGAGCATTCCATACAAAGCAATTCCTCTGTAAATGTAAAATAAATGTAAATGAATTATTCTGGCATGACAGATTGTTTTTTGTTTTCCACACTGAAGCTCCACATAGTTGACATGAACTGACAACACATTGTTTATGATTAGCTAACTAATCTATGCATATAATATTAGTAGTCTCTAATATTATCTAGAAATTCTAATATACACATGCTATGTTTACAGTATGGGTTACAAGAGTGGGAAAATAACCCAGTGTGATGGTGATGCCACACTTCATATCTTTTTTTATTTGCTTCAATTTAAAACATTTACTAGCAGTGAAAAATCAGCCAACATGGAATCCATAGCTTCCTTTAGCACTACCATTTCTAGACACAGTGTGGTGCTAAGTGCACAAAGTTTACTTTGCTTCTTTGAGCAACCAGAGATGGGTTTGCAGGCATGTGGTGTTTTAAAACTATTTTACACATTTTTGCACATAAAATTAAAGTAAATTTAAAAAAAAAGGGTTAGTTTCTGTATTGCTTACTCCTCATAACATCATTTACATGTAACTGCATTTGATACTAATAAAGTGCTAGAGGCACTTGCTGATAGGAACCAGATGTCTGAAGCATTTAATGCCTCTAAAAGCCACATTACAGAAAGTTATTACACTTACATTAAAATGGCAATAAACACCCTGCCTGATGTGTGAGATATTGTTTTATGACAGAATAAAGTTTAATTTACCATTTTGTTTTACCATTATCAACATCACATAGAAAAACTCAGAAGACACATACAAGACAGTAAGTTTATCAAAACAGCATTATGATGGCATGAAAAGAGAGAAAGAGAGAGAGAGTTCAATATTTATATAAATGTGTTAGTGGTGTTGCTGGAATAATCTACAGTTCCTGAACTCTCCTTAAACAACACAGAAGTTCAAAAAACACCAATAAACGCATGTAGGGCAGAATTAGGCTGATTTTCATTGATTATACCTATTCAAAAATGATCTTTAAAATTTTGGCTGCATCTAAACTTCAGTAATCAAGTAACCAAAACACTCTACAGTATAAAGCACCTAAAACCCACAAGCTCAGCCCTGAACTCAGTCCCCTCTGTCAGCTGGTTCAACTAAAACACTGACCCCCACAGCACACACAGCAGCCTCAGTCCAGCACTGCTGACCAAAGTCCAATCAGAGCAAACCAAATTATCAAACAAGTAAAGTGTACAAGAGTAAAAAACAGCTCTCTGGAACACTGGGACAGTGAAACCAGAGCTCAGTTTAATCTACAGTGCTATCAGGCCCTAAACAGAGAGTATAAATTGGCAGAGTATCTCTTCACTGTCAGAGATCTACAGCAGAGACAGATCCTCACCAAGTACAGGCTCAGTGACCACAGCCTGGACATAGAAACAGACAGGTATAAAAAAAATCCTGGCTGCCCAGAGAGAGAAAACTGCGTGGTCACTGTGAGAGCAGTGAGGTGAAGACAGTGCTACACTTCCTCTTTTATGGCAAAAAATTCAAACTAGCATAAGAAAATTTCGTAACAAAATTGAAAAACATTCTCCCAATTTTGAAATTTTAACACTATCTGACAAATTACCTATGTATTAAAATATGCAGTAACATGCCACCAACTAAGAGACAGTAACACCACTACTGTCCTGCTACCAAACATCTCACTGTATGTAAGTTAAACATATATTGTCTATATGTTATTGTCTATTATGCAATATATCATCACTGTCCAAAGAAAAACATGTATCTCCATTTGTGTCAGTTTTTATTATTCTACATCATTTGAGCTCAGCAGCTGCCCTTTACAAAACATTTATGATGAACGGACCAACAGAAATAGAGATTTTTTGAAAGGTTTTTGCCTTCTCCTGTAAACTTACAATTTTGGAGATACTTGTTTCTCGTTGGAAAGCAACGATATGTTGCCTTACTTTATTTATGTACATATATAAATACATACATACATACATCATCTAAACCGCTTATCCTTCTGAGTCGCGGTGGGATGCTGGACCTGTCCAGGGTGTAACCTGCCTTCCGCCCAATGACAGCTGGGAGAAAGAAATACCAGGCTTCAGTGTATTTTCAGGCTCAGGCTCTTGAAATTAAACTACACAGATGAACACACAACAGCAGCCTAACGTGCGAAAAGATGCCTGGCAGCTTGTGATAAAACACGGTCACTGATGGAACCAGAGAACTGAACAGCTGAAATTAATGTCATTAGGCTCCACTTAGTGTGTAGAAAACTTGCTGCCATCACACCGTGACCACGCTGAACACTCCAGCCTCTTCTGTAGTGTCTCCTAAACGCAGTTTCAGGCATCTCCACCAGGAGCAGTCTCCATCCCTCCCCCTTCGCCCGCCCACTGAGGCGGAGAGCCCGGGCGCACTGAGGCGCCGCTCCGCGGAGTCCCCGCCAGCTCCGCCGCAGCACGTCTATCTGCTTGTTGTCATGGAGGAGCCAAGATGGCGGTCCTGGCCTATAGCCTAGGCAAACGGGAGATAAATCAGTATTTCAGCATCAAAAATGCCAAATTACTCTCTCTCGTCGCTGTCATTTTCCTCACGGTGGTCCACTCCGCCACTCGATATTATGGAGGTGAGTGTAAAGAGCTCTGCCCTGCAGTGTTTTCAGCCTAACAGTAGCGTTAGCATGCTCGCTAGTCTAGTGCAGCTCCGTGTCCTGCAGGGACAGACAGTCAGGTGTCACTTAGCTAGCTGTAATACACAAAGCAGACTGGTATCGGTAGATCACCTTGCGCTAAGACACGTCGACTTAGTATTTGCAGCGTGTGCTGAATTGAAAAAGTAGCGTTATGTTACACAGGAAGGCGAGGTTAGCTAAGGTTAGCTGGTGTTACATACCATAAAGAGCGCAGTTCATTAATTAACTACCGGCGAGTGTAGTTAGCTGTCACAGAAATGTCCTGCTAAGCTAACTAATTAGCTACCTGTCGGAGTAATTTGGCTTGTTAAGCGCTTTGCAGCGGCCGCTGCATTAACAGTGCTTGGTTTACATTTTTACACTTGTGCATATGGAAACCTAGCTAACCTTAGCTGGGTCGACGCTTTTTAAACAGCATTCCTCTAAACTGTTCACACCATTCCAGTATCATGTTCTAGTTAAGTAGCTAACGTTAGTAAAGTCCTTGTAATTACCTAGTAAAGTAGCTGACCGACCGTTAGGCGTTCAGCCGCTTCTTTGCATCATCCACTCTGTGGTTATGGTGGTTAACGGGTAGCTAACTGAATCTAGATGTGCTGAGCTGAATATAAATGTCCCGTGTCTCTTCTCTCCTACACTGTGTGGTCCAAGCATCATGATATCTTTGGGACATTAGTTACTGCAACATATTACATTGTAGTTACAGTGCTATAATGTCCCCACACACATAAAGGTGTCTGCAGAACTTCGGACACGTTTTAATCTTGAAGGTACCACAGGTGTGGTGATGAAGCCAAGTTATATGTGTATAGATTTAATAATATGTGCTACACTTGGTGATTTAAGTAGTGACATCTTATAAGTTAAGCTGTAAGATTTCAAGAAAATATCAAAATACAATTTTCTCATCAGTATTGCAATTTACAAGTTACAAGGAATATTTTTATGTAATAATAATTATAATTATTATGAAAATGAAGCTACTGTGGTCGCTAACAAATTTTCAAAAGATCCACATAATTAAATGGAATGTAAACAAACAGAGTTGTTTAAAGTGGTTTGGTGTGAAATGCTCTGTTCTACCGAGTCAGAATTGTCCACGGTGGTGGTGAAGGGATAGCTCCCTCACATAACGTTATGCACAAAATGGTTGTGAATACGCTGCCTGATGCCAGAGACATTGTTTTACAATAGTTTGGTGATAAACATTTTGTCCTAAAACCTCTTGTTAGTCCATTTTTTTTCTAATTCATGGAGGAGGGGTACATGCAGGGCATTGTAAGACAAAATAGGCCTAAAGAAAACTTATTTTTTCAGATGTTCCACTATTTTACCATCATCATAAAAACTCGGAAGACGTGTATGTTTACTGGTGGTTTTGGATAGTTAATAAAATGGCTATGTTTGTGCTGTAGACATGGTCCTTATCATTACCACTGTAAAGAAATCTGAATCTGTAACTTTCTCTACAACAGACCGTTTCATATCAAACCTACTCTGAGCGACTTTCTTACATCACAACAATGGAATTGTGCAACAATTTAGAAAAAATCTATGGAATTCCCCTTTAAATGAATTTTGTTCCTAAGTTTTTTCCTTTATCTTAAGCGAGCTGTGTAAAATCTCTTCTGAGAAATGTTAGTTAAAAATGACAAAAAATCCATAATTGTAAATTGAGTTTTAGTCCCTTAATTTAAGTTTCATCACTTAGGTTTTTGACAGTTACAAAGCTTAAAAGTAAATCTATAGCTTTAAATTTATTGCTTAAACATTTAATTTAAGATGCATACTTAAGATGTTTTATCAAGTGGCCACATGCCTTTTGGTTCACCAAAAAGATGTGCACATGCATTTTTTTCAGACTTAAGGCTTTAGCCCTGAATGTAGTGCTCCAGTTCATGAGCTTGGCATTGTTAGGTTACATATCCCCACTTCTTGTTGTTGATTTAGAATGTTGTCACATTTGTCAAAATTGCAGTGTCTGTGATTTAAAAGTGGCACTCCTTTTTTTAAATAGCGATTTTTAAATTGCAGTTTTATTTAATATAAAAAAATATGTTGTTCAGCCCTGTATATATAAATTCATGACCTTCAGAGATGTCTGTTCATGTTTAAATTCAAAACAAATTTTACTTTCTCAGGCGGGGACACATGTGACTGGCTCCTATCCAGTGGACGTTTCCTAGGGAACAGTGTGTGGCAGCCATATGGCTGCATGATGCACAAGTACAAAAGCATGTGAGTCACACCAGTTACACTGTAAGATTATATACTCTGGCATGTGGCAGTTAGGAATAGCATTTGAAAGTTTGAAATGTTTTTTTTTCCTCAGTGAAGCAAAGACATGCCTCAACAATAAGAGAATAGCATTCATAGGTGATTCCAGAATTCGACAGCTCTTCTATGCCTTCATCAAAATTATCAACCCTGACACAAAGGAAGATGGGAACAAGGTTTGTGTCTACTGTATTTACTGATATTCTCAATAAATTTCTTTTTTTGTGGTGCTAGTTTGTACATTACTGTAATTATCCATAATTGATAATGGGCACTTGTTAAGGACTTTAAAAAATTATATTTAAAATTACAGTACACAAATAATACAAAAAATTACACACACAAAAAAAAAACCTTACATTTGTTATTCCTGGTATCGCTCTAAGATGCCTGACCCCATAGACAAAATAGACGGCTGTTTGGAATTATCTTTGTTTTGAGAGACTAAACATGCCCAAAGGTAAAGATAAAGAGTGGCCTTGGTGTGTTCTTAATGATCGTTTCTAGTTGTTTCTTTTTTGATGACCCTGGCAGCACGAAAACATTCCCTTTGCAGACAGAGAGTCTTCTGTGAATGTGGTGAGTTTTTTCATACGTCAGCTTTTCCAGTAGGTGGTAAAAGACAGGAAAATATGTCACAAGAAATTCTAAATGGAGGATGAAAACATAGTCTCTTTTGTTGTTTTATAGGACTTCTTGTGGTATGCAGAAGTGAATAATTCCATGAAGGAGCAGGTGACAACCTGGGTAGAGGTAAGGGCAAAAAAATGATTGTATGATCAATTCTGATTCTTTGTAGTGCATCTTGTATAATTTGTCAGTATTTCTGATCACTCTTTACCTCAGAGGCCCTTTAACAAACCAGATGTCATAATCATTGGCGCGGCCACTGTAAGTATAAATCTCATTGAATAAATATTAGCATAATATTCCAGTACGTCCTATTGCTCTAAATTATACAAAGTTGTTCTGCATGTTGTATTCACACAGTGGTCCATCAAACTGCACAGTGGCAGCAGTGAGACGCTCCTTCAATACAAAGCAAATCTCACATCTATAGCAGCACCACTGGAGAAACTAACTGAGCGCAGTGAAGTCTATTGGGTCTTACAAGGTATGTCTCAAACGTAGAAGGACTGGAAGCTTGAAGTTTGCTGCAAGAAAGCAAAAGTGATTTTTTGGGTCTTGCTTTTAGATCCCGTGTATGAGGAGCTGCTGAGTGAGAATCGTAAGATGATCACGAATGAGCAGATAGACCAGTATAATGCAGCAGCAGTCAGTGCGCTTAACAACAGCAAGAGGAACTCCAAGGCCAGGGTGAAGTTCTTGGAGGCCTCTCGGCAGGCTGCCATGGAGACCGTCACCCAATCAGTGGATGGGCTGCACCTCCCTGAGAGCACAAGGAATGTGGTAGGTCATTAGTCCAGATTCTTTGCTGCTTGAAATGCTTTTATGTAGCTATGTTATCCGTCAAGTAATTTGGACTGGTTATTATGTTCTTCCATTAGGGTGCCATGGTTCTAATGAACTCCATATGCAACAAAATCCTGAAGCCCATTGATGGCTCATGCTGTCAAAGTGTTCCTCCGCTGAGCATCTTACAGAAACTGGCTGCTGGACTCTTCTTAGCAGCTGGCATCTGCTTCCTGGTCCTCCATGCGCTAGGCTACAGCAAACATCGTAAGAGCAGGCCGGTTTCTGATGTGGAGAGTGGAGAGGAGAAGAAGCCTCCCATTGCTGCAGTTCCGCTCAACCTAAAGGAAGCGTTACAGTCGGCCTGCAAGATGGGTCTTATCATGCTGTACTTCTACCTGTGCGACAGAGCAGACATTTTCATGAAGGAGCAAAAGTTCTACACACACTCTACCTTTTTCATCCCACTCATCTACATATTTGTGCTGGGCATCTTCTACAATGAAAACAGCAAAGAGGTAGCGGGAATTGTCTTAAACTAAAAGAGATCCTTTTCTTCTGAAACAGACATGACTAGTTTCAGTTTGACATTTTAGACTATTGCAAAATATTTGGTGAAGAATGAGATCTGTACAATTTTCCTCTTACTTCAAATGTAGATGGTCATCCAGGACATGTCTTGGAGCTACAACGCTAATGTAAAAAACAGCTAATAATTATATCCCACCAATTGTGCAAACCCCAGCATTGTGCAAATTGCATAAAACGATCACATACTTGTCTTTAACTACATTATGTTGTTTCGTAATCTTAAATAGACTTGCTTCTGTGGTTTCTGGCACTGTATAACATGCTGTTAGTCATAAAAATCGACGAAGTACATTGCATAGCAGCTGTTAGGAAGCTTGAATTTTGTCATACTTTTGTTGATCTGTGTAGAAATTTAAAGAAACTTCAGACACCAAACTTATCTTGGCTAATTAACTACATTTGGGGTAAGGGGAAATTTAAGTGTACGTTTTTTTGTTTGCTTGTTTGTTTGTGTGTTTTGTTTTTTTTCACTCTGTTATGCATTGTAGACCAAGCTGCTGAACAGAGAGCAAACTGATGAATGGAAGGGCTGGATGCAGCTGGTCATACTCATCTATCATATATCAGGAGCCAGCGCTGTAAGTTCTGTCATGGATACATAAACACTTTATATTAATAACGCATTATACTATGATCATCTCATCTCAATTTGCCTTTCTCTCTTTGTTCCCCACAGTTTATACCTGTCTACATGCATGTGCGGGTCCTAGTGGCAGCTTATCTCTTCCAGACAGGATATGGCCACTTCTCCTTCTTCTGGTTAAAGGGAGACTTTGGACTCTACAGAGTGTGCCAGGTATCTCCACCTTCCCTCTATAAGCCATTCTACACCTTAACTATATACAGTAAAGCATTGACTTGTTGCTTTTACCTTAAATGTCAGGTGAAACCACAACACACAATAATGATGAGGTGACTCTGTTTTAGGTTCTCTTCAGACTCAATTTCCTGGTGGTAGTGCTCTGCCTGGTCATGGACAGGCCATACCAGTTCTACTACTTTGTGCCTCTGGTTACCTTTTGGTTTGTGGTCATCTATGCCACGATGGCTATGTGGCCACAAATTCTGCAGATAAAAGCCAATGGTAATGACTTAGATTGAAAATCAGATTCTGTATGTTGTGATTATTTGGTCTTAGTATTTGATGCAAATAGCACTATAGTATTGTTTTTGTTTATTACAGGTAACCGTTTCTGGCACCTGGCACTTTTATTGAAACTGCTGGGGTTGCTTCTTTTTATTTGCTTCTTTGCATATTCACAGGTAGGTCCTTACAACCATGACAGTTATTTATATATTTATAAATTTAAGAATGCAGACGCATATTGTTCTGCTTCACTTTACAACTTGTAGTGAACTTGTTCACTCCTTTCAGGAACTCTTTGAGAGTGTTTTCTCCGTGTGGCCTATTTCAAAGCTCTTTGAGCTGCAAGGAAGCATCCATGAGTGGTGGTTCAGATGGAAGCTAGATAGATTTGTAAGTGAAATGTGACTTTCCCAGGATGTGTTTTTGTTAGAAATGATTGCTCTGTAATATCTTGTTCTTACTGAACAACCAGTGCCCCATAACCAAAGTTATTTATGACATTTTGCTTTGTAAAAATAATGTAGTCATATAATTGCCCAGGCATGCTAACAAGTGACGTCGACATTCAAGCAAATCCAAAAATGTTTTTAGTAATGTGTCATTCTGAGTCTGTTTATGCGTTCTTGAATTGCAGGCTGTGATCCACGGGATGCTGTTCGCCTTTGTTTACCTAATATTGCAGAAATGTCAGATTCTGTCAGAGGGTAAAGGAGAGCCTCTCTTCTCCAACAGAATTTCCAATTGCCTGCTCTTTGTATCTGTGGTCTCTTTCATAGTAAGTAGACTACTAGAGTTTCTTTTCTGATTGCCTCTTTAGAGGTCACTTTGTGTAACTTGCTTCTTTCCCTACAGACATATTCCATATGGGCCAGTAGCTGTAAAAATAAGACTGAATGCAATGAGATGCATCCCTATATTTCAGTGGTGCAGGTATGTCCTCATCTTTCAGTTTTCCTGTCATTTCCTTTCTCTTGGGGCTCTTGGGACTTAGGACATTGAACAGACCTCAAGTGACAAATAGGGTTTTAAATTAGAAATAACTTTTTTTATTTAAATTACTTTGTAACTACTATGAGACCAGTGTGTAGGTTATGAAGTATGGGCTCACATATGGACCCTTGTAGTTTAAGGGGTTAACTGCACTGTTTTTGCCATTTTGGGTAACTAAAATGATGCTTCTTTTAAAGCACAGAAAACCTTAAGTTTGTTAAAGAAATACTTTGTATATCATGTATTCAAGGCTCTCGATAGGCCGTTTTTTACATTTCCCTGTTCTTACTTCCGTTGGTTTCTTTTAGCAGGTCATTTAGTTTATGGTCTAACCAGAACAAATGGCACAGTCCAGCTTTAAGATGTTGTAGGATTTCATGTGTTTCCGGCCAAGCACACATTAAGATCGAAATGAATCCAGTGAATCCGAAGGATAGAGTGTCTTAATTTTAGAGTAAATGCCGGCATTCATGTCTGCAGGCGTCTCTTTGCCGAGAGTGATGTTTAGAAGACTCCTTAGTGTCACTTCATGCTCATTTGTGGTGCTGTACTCTACTGTTTACTTTGGAATAACTTTCAAAAGCACAAGATTGGAGAGTCTGTTTATTCAAGAGCATCCACACAGCTCAGAACACATGTTAACAGCCAGGATAAAGAGGAGAAAGAAGTTGGTTTCTTATTCAGATTTCCTTTCCACCTTAAATGATGCAGCAGTCACAGTAGAACAGAATATTTAAATAAGAAACCAACTATTTCATCAGAAGTTCAAAGTCTAACAGTTTACTGATATTGCAAAAGCAGCCTGACCTAAAAAAAAAGCACTGCACACACAAATTTAAACTCATTTGTTGGTTAGTGCTAGTAGCTGACATCTTTGGTTAGCCAACTCAGTACAATAACGCTGCAACCACAACTCTCTCTTCATTCCTAGCCATAACTGTGTGTCAGACTTGTACTTTGTGTGGTTTGTTGTTCTTCCTTATTGATCTGCACGATCTGGCCCTCACTATCACCTCATCTCATTCACATTGAAGATAAGATAATCCTTTATTTGTTCCACATTGGGGAAATTCAGTGAAACTACATGTACATATCAAAACATTAACATATTAAATATATATGAACATAAAACCAAGCCAACAATTTCCAGTCAGGTTAGTGAAGTTGACTAGCTGGCTATGTTAAAATAACTTATGTTGAAAGTCAAAAATGTAATTTTCAAAGAACATCCTAAATCTTTTATTATTCTTGGTATGTGTTGTATGTACGTATTCTTTTATAAATCAGTCTACATCACTGCCTAAGATATGAGGAAGGACCACAATACAACGCGTGAAGCGCCTTCCATGTTTTGAAACAACCGTCAGGCTAACTGGATGTGCTTTTTACCTGCTTTGTCGCTGTTGTTCATGCTTTTATAATTAGTAGGTTGAACTACTGTAATACTTTTCTTTCTGGTCTCCATTAATCCATTAAATCCATTAACAAGTTACAATTGATTCAAAGTGTTACCGCATGTGTTCTTTACAAGACCAAAAAGAGCATATTGCTCCTTCCAAAAGTCCCTTTAGTGTTTACCCATTAACTTCAGAAGTGATTTTAAAATACTGTTCGCTTTTAAATCAGTTAGTGGACTAGCCCCCAGATATATGTTGACATGATTCAATTTTATGAACCAAACAGATCCTTGTGCTCCTCTGGCGCTAATATTCTTGCAGGGCAGCAACAAAGACAGTGAGGCAGTTTTTATATGGCCCTCACCTTTGGAATAGTCTGATAGATGACCTGAGGGCAGTGCAGTCTGTGGCTATTTTTAAATGTTAAGTCTTAATTTTACACTTCTTTTATGTCATAATTCTTTTGTTTCCTTCCAGTATTATTTTATAGTTTATGATATTATACTTCATAATTCTTTCATTTTATTCGTGTTATTTTGATGTAAATTTTTATTAGATGTTTATTAATTACTCTCATTCTACTGATGAGGCCTCTGTCTGTGTGTCAATCACTTTGAATTACAACTCCTTGTCAGGAAGTTGCTATATAAATACAGATATAAAGATATGATTTGATTTCACATGCTTGAGCATGCTGTTCACTGTGCTTTCTTTCTGCCCTCAGATTCTGGCATTTGTTCTAATCAGGAACATTCCCGGTTATGCCCGTTCCTTGTATAGCTCCTTTTTCGCGTGGTTTGGAAAAATCTCACTAGAGGTAATCGTCATGTATGATTACTGGGAATAGTTTCCAAATCAAGTTCTTCAGCAGAAATAGGAATACTCATGTGCAGTTAAATTAAGCACTTCTTTGTCCTTCTTCTTGCAGCTCTTCATCTGTCAGTACCACATATGGCTGGCGGCAGACACCAAGGGCATCCTTGTCCTCATTCCTGGAAACCCCTCCCTTAACATCATCATCAGCACCTTCATCTTTGTGTGTGTGGCTCATGAAATCTCACAGATCACCAATGACCTGGCCCAGGTGGCCATCCCTAAAGAGAACGCTGCTTTGATTAAGAGGATGCTGGCTGCTGGTGTCTTCTTCGGCCTCGTTCTCGTTCTTTCTAAGAGCGGGCAGGCTGGCAACTGAAGAACCACTGCCCATCTGAATGATGAATGATCCTTGAGTGCATTGAATAATTTGAGCAAGAATTCTTGCCTATTGATGGCCCTGTGCTGTAATACTGAACTCAGACTGAGACTTTAATCTAGAGGAGAGGCCAGGAGCAAGGCCTGTGACGCAGTAAAGACTTACATGATGAAGCTTTGTTTACGATGAACTCAGATTTTATACAGGATGTGTGCCCTAGACGTAGAGACGCTTGCGAGCTACGTAATGTCACACACAGTGTTGTGACTGACAACTTATGTTCGGGAGGGACTAAGACTCGCTCTGACATTGATAAAATGTAAACAACCTGTCCTCCGTCCGTATGTCTTGTAGTACTTATTTGTCATATGTACAGTATTTAATGATTTAAATTAAGTGTACTTTGTACAGGGGTATATTTGTACCACCTTTATGTTGTTTCTTGGTAGATTTTTTTTTTTTCTTTATTTGTAAGGGTTGTACCCTTGACTGAACGGAACATGAACGGAATATGAATGGAGTATTACATTTCCCATTTCAAGTAGACAGTGCGCCATATGCCAGCTCCATCTTTTGGAACTTCCACCGGTTACTAGCCAATTGATTTCAGTGTAAACAACCACTATTGTAAATGTATTTTGAGCATTTGCAATTTTTAAATGATGCTTTCAACAGTTCTCAGTTCTCCTGAACTCTCAACAGACACATGAAACTTTTATAGTTGTCAAAACACAGGCAGTGAAGCGATCACTGCATGTACTACTGAAAGAGACTGTCTTGAATTATCAGACGATTTACTTCCCTGCTATTTATTGTCAAAAAGGAAAATATCTTTAACCAAGAAAAGTAGCTTTGCTGTGGTGTTATAATCTAATGAACTGAAAATTGTCAGTGCTGTTGTGTGATGCAAGGCAGAGAAAGCAGAAACAGTCCTGCTTCTGAAGGCATGAGGGTCAAAAGGTAGCTTTTTTTTTTGATGAGAGAAATTGCCAACCTGTTTTGTATGTATGTGTTTTGTGGCTTTTACCTTTGAATTAAGTACGAAATGCTAAACAAACTAACCCTATTGTATAGATCATTATCCCGTTTATTGTGGCATTGACTAGGATGCATTTCCAAACCATTTTAAAGCTGTTGGCAGGGATTTTAGCTCTTCAGAGCTGCAGCCATGCTTTGAATTTTCTATGCTTCTGTTCCTAAGATCAGACCTGAAACAAATCACCTGAAGAACAGCGTTTTAAGGTCCTAAAGGCGTTGTGTACATTTGAACGGTTTAAGACCACTGGACTGAAAAATCCTGTCATGATGGAGTTGGATAGCAGTGTCGTAAAACAGTTATGGACAATATATGAAATAATTAGTGGGTATGAACTATAAATCTGACATTCACATCTACATCCTCATGAAACTGTGAGCATATTGTTGATGTTTATTCACAGAAAGCAGTTTCAACATCCCTCATTGTGGTTTCAGAGCAGCAGTGGCATAAACAATGCTTTGTTATTAAATTGGCTTTTTCAGTTGAATTAAGACTGTGTTCATCTGATCTAGCTTAAAATCTCTCTAATTGGTTTTATTCCACTTGCTTGAGCTTTATCTAGGAGGTCACGTGCAAGTGCTTGCAGATTGAAAAGTCTGTATGTATCCTAAACTGTAAATAGATTTTGCATATTGTGCCACTGAGAAGTTACTGAGAAGTTACTTAGATGTTCCTCATCCTCATCCAAGAGCCACTGGCCTGAAATGTGACTGATTTTAGGTACAAATATTCAGAGATTTGAAACTTGGACCGTTGTATCATAGCTTCTTTTCATCAATGTATTATTTTGACATTGCAGATTAAAGCCATCTGCACTTTTTTAGGGTCTTCTTCCATTATAGGAAGACAAAGTCTTGTTAAAAGCAAACAAGATCTTCTGTAGAAATAATTATTTTATTTTCTAAAATGGACGGTTGCGTTTATTCCAAACAGCAGCTCGAATTACACTTGATGAATTCAATCCACTTCACTGCTATACTGAACCAACAGAGACATTTATCCTATTGTAAATGTTTGGATTTTATTTTTTTAAGACTTCATTTGTGTATATAAATCCAATGTTTTGTATAGTTTAGTTTGATCCTATTTAAAGAAACAATTCATACCCCCCCATGCCTCAATACAGAGCTGATGTAAATATATTTGTTTTGTCCTGAAATGTGAAACCTCTCTCTTATCCATTGAGAAATGATTTCATTATGTTGTGTAGTCATTACTGATGACAGACATCTTACTGAACTTGTTTAGTGCTGCATTCTTATTAGCAGGCTTGTATTAATTCACTTCTGGTGCATTCCCATTGACACACATCAACACATTCTCAGTTTACACATGTAAACGCTCATGGTACCGAGAGCAGATTTTTACATTGATAAGTTTATTAATTTATTTATCAAAAACATCTTTACTAATGTATAATAACAAAATAAAGTTGCCTATTCAACAAATACTATGTGGTAATGTGAACACTGACAGGTCAAGACAATTTGATGAAATAGCAGGGTTAACTTTGCAACCTTGACATTTAAAGGATGTTACAGTTGATATGGTTGTCTTCATTGACTAATGGTGAGGTTACACAATTAGTAACAATGGGAATTATTCAGTTACAATAAAAACGTCTTACTCAGCAATTATTGCAGTATGATCAGTTTTCAAAAATAATATACAGTACTGTGCAGAGTTTTTACAGCCATTAAGTACAAAAGTACAAGTTCTTTTTTCAGCATCAGAAAAAAAGCAGTAAACACATATAACAAACTTACACAGAAGCCTCAACATGTAAATATAAAGAATAAAAATAGAAACGCAACACTTTGGGGATTTTCTTTAAACTTAAACCACACAAAAACAGGATGGGACATAAAATAGAATTTCCACATCAGTATCTGGTGTGACCACTGTCTGCCTGTAGAAGTGGACCACATTTCTAGGGAAAAAAAATCCTCAATTCAAAATGTACTTTTCTATTATTTTCCTATTATCTAATCTCTGAGAAAATCCTGAAAATGAACGAGTTGTTTTTGACTGGAAGTTAAATAAAGAGTGGTCTCTTGACTTCTGCACAGTACTGTATTATTAGCTAATATGAAATGTCATTTGAAATGCATTAGAATTTAATAAAAGGAAAAGATGGGTCTCCTCTGTGCTGTAACTCAAAATCTGTTACTGATATCAGCCTTTGGGCAGCATTAGCAGGGTTGTAGGGTTGTTAGTTCTGTATCTTTTCTTACTTCAGACTGAGAGTGATTCACCCTGTTTCAAAATGACTGTGCACTGTAACTGGGTCCCGGATATGACAGGTGGAGGACAACCTGTTTGCCTGTATCCGGGATGAGGAACTCCAGTCCTAGAGGGCTGGATTACTGCACAGTTTGATGATCTCCCTGTTCAAACACAACTGACTCAAATCATCAGTTTATTGCCAGGCTTAGTTAGTTTGACAAACAGAGAAATCAACAAACTGTGCTGGACTCTACCCTCAGTTCACAACTCCTGGCCTATATTTTGAATAGTTATGGCTATTTGACTGCATTTTAATAGACTTTAAAATACTGCCACCTGCAGTGCTGCAATGAAATGAATGTACAACCAAGCTCTTTAAAAGGAGGTTAGTACAATTTGGTGACCAAAGATTACATACTGGTTTGTAAAAAAATACAATGATAGAATAATACAATAATAAAATAAATGCTTTTGGATGGATAGACAGTGATTACTACTGGGCACTTTTTTTTTACACAGGACCCCACCAACAAAAGTCAGTTCTGGCCACAGCGTGTCTTTTTAAATGTGCCTCTTTAATTGGTGGACCCTTAACATGTTAAAAAAAAAAACAGGTTTTCACTTTAAAATAACAAGACAAGTTCTGACAGAATTAGTGAAAATACTCTCTTGTCAGTGTATCTGTCTTTACAACAGCTCCAGGTGCTTTTTTGAGCACATTTAGGTTATACTGCACTCTGTCACACAAGTGAACAGGATCACAGAGCTAGCACATGCACACTTGGCACAAAACAGAAACATGAATTACATGGTTACAAAAAAGCTAAGAGTGGAAATCCCATCACAAGTTCAGCGCTTCAGCCACTTTCCTCTCTTCAGGAATACCATTTACCTAGAAGGAAAACAAATGCAAACAGCCTTTCAATATAAGAAAGTTCAGAATATATGACACTTCACACAACTACACATAGGAATGATAGTACTTGCCTCCAGTCTTCGAAATGTTGACATACAGTAATTACCTCCTTTGTTAGCAGTAAATGAATGAATAGAATGTTAGACAAGAGAAGATTTGGAAAGGATCAACTGCAGTTCACTAGTGTGCACACTGAGGCATAGAAGAGTGCAATTACACGAGCTACGCGATTAAACAAGTAATGGGGCTTTGAATAACAAATGCTGAATTTGAAACCAGTGAATCCCGGAGCCTGCATAATCAATATTTCCTATTCAGTCTGCGCTCTCATGGCTTTTGTGAGACAGGCCTATTCACTGCAAATTTGTCTTTCATGCACAGCCTGCTATGACAGCTATAAAGCTAATTTAGAAGTGACTAGATGACACAGGCTGGTAAGCAGTCTTGTAATAATGCAACAATAAACAGCAATAAATGTAATATTTGACAACATTTTTAAATATGTAAAAAGATAGATTTCATGCAATATGATCTACATGCAGATCTACTCATGCATATGGGTACCATACAGTGACACAGCTTAGATGAAGCTGCTGGCTGACACTGGTGCATACTTACCTGAAGGCTGCTGCTGTGGTATCTGGATTTGATTTTGAAGATTTCTGTGAACAGAAAGGCAGCATTAATATGGCTAGGGCTTCTATTTCACTAATGGCAGGTAATTCGTAATACTCTGCCAACATCATTTTAAACCGCATTCTAAAAATAATTTGAGGTTAATGCTTAAAGTAAACCTGTAATCGTAAAGGACCTTTTTATCTAGTTAGTTCATGTCAAATTATGTATGACTCCTCATGTATTTTTAAATCTTCCATCAAACTGTTGTGACCCTGTAGTGAGTTACATCACCATGCACAGCAGGCAGACAAAAATAATATTAACCAAAAAAAATTATGTTTCACTTCCCCCTTCTTCCTCCCCGCTTCCTAACACCCAGTTAAAATGCTAAGCAAGCTCAGAGACTGTCCCTGATACTGTGCCTCGCTTAGAAATACATGCAGTCATTTGAACAAAAGTTCAAACAAAAGTTTGAACATCCCTGTTTTTTTGGCATTTGTCTGCAAATTTTGGTGCACAATTTACATTTTTTTGCTAAATTTAACACACTTTTGCACTCGACTATATATGATACAGAATAAAATTGTGTCATGATTTCTGATTCACAATGACTTCATAGAGTCATATAGCGCAGTAGGTAACACTGCTGCCCACAGTAGACTGGGGTTTAAATCCTCGGCCCAGGGAAGCAAACCACGCTGTAACAATAAGAATCATTGGGCAATACTCCTAATGCTACATATGCCTACCACTGTAAAATGATTAAACTGTAATGGCTATGGATAGTAACATATATGTAATAAGTGTAAAGATGCTGTTATTTTGATCCATGAATCTTCAAAGCACTCAGAAATGCACAGCAGTAATGCTCCAGTAGCAACCATAGCCACCAGTTTTAGGCAGGTGCTATAGCCAAAGAGAATATAAGACAATATACCTAAAATACTACTACTGTAATTATGGTTGAGACTGCAGTATATTGTAACATATTACAAAAACACAGCTGAATCAATAATGTGACACTGTTAAAGACTGCCCTGCATTATTCTGACCAAAATAGTTTTCTTTTCTAGGATCGTATTAATGCCTTGATTCACCAAGAATTCAAGGAAACACTCATTCCAAACTGGGATCAGTCAAGAGGCTCAGAGCACATAGTAAGAAATACACTGTGATTATTTTATCATTTGAAACCATTTGATAATGTAGCCCTCTGCACTATCAGTGTTGCAAAGGCTAATATTGTGTTAACAAGTGCAGTAGGACACTCACGTCTGGGTCTGCATGAGCGGCATGCTGGTGGTCTCGTAGTTGTCTGGATGAATGGGCGGGACCACCTCCCCACTCACAGGGTTGAAGACAGGCAGTGTAGACAGAGGCCAGGAGATCTCCCTGTTCTTCGACATGCTACGCAGCTCCTTTGTGGACTTCTGAATAGAGCTGTGGTGCACCAGCTGAATGCTGAGAAGACAAAGGAGATCAATTAAACATTATGAACATACATACTGCATCATACATACTGAACAAGCATGCTTCACAATATAGGAGAGGCGCAAAGAAAATATTCAAGTTCATGTTTAAGTTGCTATGTTACACCATACAACCTATGGAGCATGTAAACGCTGAGAAACGAATGTGCTGAGTCATCTCTGGTCACATCATTTGCTCTCTCATCACATTGCCACATCCCCTCTATCTCATAAGCCACCATATTTCATATTCCTGTTCTTCTCACCCAAACCTAGTCGAACCTGTGATATATATCCGTTAGCACACCACTAGATTAGAACCTGAATCTGCCTCTTTAAGCAGCTTCCCCGACTGGATGACAACATGGTGTCTTTATGAATGATTGAGATGGATATGGAAATGTCACCATGAGGGAGGACTAAGAGAACAAAAAGTTGTGGGAAGGCAAATAAAACAAAAAGATTCCCCTGGCTGAAGAGAGATAAAAAGAGAAAGAGAAAAAAAACCAAAAAAAAACAAATAAAAAACACAAACCGAAGATAAAAGAAAAAACACAGGAGAGGAAACACTTACTCTGGTGTTTGCATGTTTCTTTTTTCCCTAGAAACAAAACAAAATGTCTGAATTAAATACTAATATTAATAGTTTAAAGACAACCACACAAAAGCGAATGGGGAGCAAGTCAAGGTCAAACAGAGGGAGGTGAAGAGGAGGTGGAGAGTGGAGAGGAGTGGAGAGGGGTGAGAGGGGGGTTGTGATGGGGAATCCTTCAGGCTGCAGTACCTCTGGTGATGAGTGAAAGGTAGGGAGGCACTGTGAACTGGACTGGCCATGTATGATATGGGGTGATGAAAAACGTATCCATTGAGATGGCTCTGATATGATAGATGGGAACCCTTGGACTGAGTGTGTTTGTACAAATGATTCAACAAAAAGTAATGGACCATAAAACTGCACGTTGGATGGGGATGATAAGCTGCTTCTTGGCAGGGAGGTAACCCTGTCCTATGGCCTCCACACTGCACCTCCAGTAACTATTGATCAATTAGGAATTCTAATTCTGAGATTATTTCATTGAATTGAATGAATTTCATTCATACTTAATTTCTCTCACATTGCCTGGCTATGAACATACTCAGTGTCATAAGTATAAACTGAAAATATGTTCAGGTATACAGGCATAAAACATAATGATTTAAATCATATTTGTAAAGTGACTACAATCTATTGACTGTTTGCTCCAGTTCAGGCATATATTCATCATGTTGTGTGTGGGGGTGTGTGATTTCTCTCTGAGAAGTAAGCACAGCGCACTTACACCCCTTCCCGGCGACAGCACATAGAATAACCCAGGATGATAAACAGGACCAGGGCGACGGCGGAGGGCACAGCCAACGTGACCAGGAAGTCAGTAAAATAGTCCCTACTCTTCAGCGACTCTGAGGGCGGATTGTACTCTCCGATGTCCGGTAGCACCCCTGTGCCTGGATCTGGACGGCTGTTGTGCACAGGGACAACCTTAGTGATGTCCACCTGAGGGACAGAGAGACCGAGAGCAGCATTAGTGCAGGCGGTTTGAAAATCTAAATTTGTACACTCTTAGCAAAAAGGGTTTTATATAGTAACAAAACAGGTTATTTGGCTTGTGACAATAGTGGAACCCTTTTTGGTGCTATATAGAAACCTTTTTAAAAAGGTTCTATATAGAACCTTCTGCAGCACATTCTCCATCTATCTGAAGAACCCTTCCACGATGCAAGAACATTTAAATCAAGCAAAGGGTTCTTTAAGTCTTCATGGCTCTATATAGAACCATTTTCTGGATTTAAAAAACCCTTGAAGTTAGGGGATTTGGAGACCTCTCTGGTGGAAATGTGTAATTGCATGCAACGTACCCAAGAACACTTTGTAACATCAGTCGTGCTTCAGAAAACATTTTTTCAGAATTCTGTGCAATAAATAAGGTCAGTGTTTAGAATATTCATACAATATAGGGATTAATTAGTTGATGAATTATTTAAAATGATTTAAAGTCGCAGCTAAAGTCAGGAGTCACCGGCCAATAGCAGTCTGACAGTTTGGGCTATTACTTAAAGTCTACATGAACTGGAAATCATGATTCATTTTCCTTCCACACTCTGACATATTTCCAAGTGAAACACAGAATCAGGAGTCTTTAAGCTAGATAAGCATTTTCGCTTGATGATAGGTGTGGGTGGCGGGAGGGGGAAGCAAAACACATTGTTTTTTCCCTGCCCACCGGTGCGCAGCCACACAAACAAAAATCAGAAGACACTTCTGAAGCAAGCAAATGTCATTACATTTTGATAAAATTATGAGAAAACAAGAATTTTGTCTTTTATATGGTATGATATGATGAACCGTGCTTAATATGACCAGAGACATGAACTAACAAAGTAAAAAAATGTCAATTCTAATCTGCGTTCGACTCAAATCATCACCACAGTGGCTTAAACACACAGCATTCCAGTTCCTTATAAACTATAATTTCTGTGTTGTTGACATTTTTTTAACGTCTACTAGAAAAACACAGGGCGGCACGGTGGCGCAGTGGGTAGCGCTGTCGCCTCACAGCAAGAATAGCCTGGGTTCGATTCCCGGGTCATTTCTGTGTGGAGTTTGCATATTCTCCCTGTGTCTGCGTGGGTTTCCTCCGGGTACTCCGGTTTCCTCCCACAGTCCAAAGACATGCAGTCAGGCCGATTGGACGTGCTAAAATTGCCCCTAGGTGTGAGTGTGTGTGTGACTGTGTATGTCTGTCTGTCTGCCCTGCGATGGACTGGAGACCTGTCCAGGGTGTATCCTGCCTTCCGCCCAATGACAGCTGGGATAGGCTCCAGCACCCCACCGCGACCCAGTAGGATAAGCGGTTTAGATGATGTATGTATAAGAAAAACACAGGTTTTATATCCACTTTTCATGTACAGTTACACAGTAAGGTTTCAAGGATTACAGAAACTACTACTGCTTTTATTAAGGATGGAGGTATGAGGCTCTTACCAGCGAGATCTTGCACCAGTCTATGTGAAACTGAGCTCTGAACTTTTTATCGCAGCTGATGACGGGCTCCATCTCCTGACTGCAGCGCAGCTGGTTTTGAGGGGTCTCCACCTCACGCAGGCACGACGAGAACTGCACGTCCGCTCCCACCATCACATACACTCTGGACACACCACGTACACACATTTCAGAGTAGTTCCTTCAACACAGTGCCCCTTATTCATCAAGGTTGTGTAAAAACAAGTGCAAATTGGAAGGCTCATACAAACTAATCTGTCTCTAATTTATGAAACAGTCTTACATCATAAAATGAGTCGAGACTTAAGTGCAACTGATGAATCAGCTTCAGTACATGGAAACCAGCATCCATTGTTTGCATACAATGAGTCCCAATTTACCCTCATATACATACAATTTACATGAGACGTCCTAATTCATGCAGATGAATTGGGACATGTAAAAAAAGGAGCCAATAAAAGCAACATACTCATAGCTCATGAGCCAGTGGTTTCTTTCATAAGCAGAGTTTAGGGGGAAGCAACAGAGCTTAAATAGTAGATTTTAAATGAATATAACCTGAAAAGAATAATATGTCTAATTTTTGTCCTCTAATTTTTATTTATAGTGGTGGAATGATGCAATTGTGTATTATGATTAATTGCCTAGACAACTGGCTGCTTGGGCTATATCAGACATAACTGAGATTAGTGTTTTTCCTCATCTAATGCTCTGAATTCAATTCACAAAGTCCTTGCTAATTAGCTGATGAGTTGAATGAAATGTGTTTAATGAGGCAGAACGCTGGAGTCTGCAGTGCTGTTGTCCAGCAGGTCTGGAGTCTGACATGTGGGTTAAGGATGTGCACTAATCTAAGTTTAAGAGCAGATATCCAGTAAACTGTGGGTAAGGAAAGAAAGTTACTTCAGCCAAAATGAATGTACGATTGGAAAGCTCAGGTGATTACTGTGGTGTTAAGAGGCTAAAAAATCAGCAGGACAAACATTTAGCAGCACGCAAAACAATACATTTGAAAACGTTTTATTATTCAACAATTGCCAAAGGAAATCAGTAGTTTTCATGTTGGATGAAATGAAGGCTGCATCTTCAGATGTGAGCGAAAAATACAGGTAACTGATACAATAGCGGAAGCTGATCTGGACTTGCTGTCTTTTCTCCTTAGTGGACGATGTGCTATCATGTTTGTTTATCAAAGAAATAGATTTTCATTGTTTCTGGGCCTGGATAAAATCAGCTAAAGTAGTTAGCCTAGTTAGCAATAAAGCTGCACTACATCTCAAGTTCATCCGTAATAAAACATCCTTAGCATCGCTGATGTCCAGGCACTCATGTTTCGAGGGGGCACATGTACTAAACATTAATAGATATGAGCAAAATAGTAACATGTTACAGTCTTGCTAAAACATAAAAGCAGGAATGGTTAACCGAGCACTCGGGTATCCATGCGCATAACTAGTGTGGGCTATATTATTACAGTAAAAGAGTCACTTCTACTACACTAGGCAATGGCAGCAACAAGGTGGGACCGTGGAGGGGGCACAGCCAGCCTAAACCAATCTCTGGTCCCCCTAGTGGCCCCCCTGACAAACAACCCCCCACCCTGTCGCACTTTCACTTTCACATTTGCCTTTAAGCGAAGAGCAGCTTGGCTGTCGGTGGTCAGCAGAACAATGGGCTAACCTCTCTAAAACTTCACGTGTTCATATTGATGTGCATGTAAATAAAAATACACCTTCCTTGCACTCCAGCACAGAATTCAAAACTCATCATTGTTCTGCATGAACCAGTCCGCTCTGTCACGGAACAGTCCTCTTTCACATGTGTAGCATAGAGGTCCTCTAGAACTGCTAGAAACTGTGATGACTGCATATCTAATTCTCAGTTGTTTGTTTATTCTAAACAACTGAAGGACTAATGAGCTAATAAGGCTCTAAGGCTGCAAATTCTAGTTTGCCTTTACAAACCTTGAAACTATATTATATTATATATTTTCTGTTGTTAGAGATACTTTGAGAAGGTTTTACAGAGCTTTTTGCGTTGCAGCTATGTGAAGAAAGCTCACCCTTCTTTCAGGTTGTTGATGGGCAGAGGTACACGGCCGCCCCGGTCCAGCGCTGAAGTGATGTTGATGGCATTCAGCCTCTCAGGCTGCCATACATTCTTCACAGCACCCAGAAAGTCTCCTAGCACCTCACTGGCTAACATCTCTTCCACATTCATGTTTTTTATGTAGAACTCTGCCTGGTAGGGCAACGGGAACTCTAACAGAGACAGAGAAAGAGACAGAGTAAGAGAGACTGCATTGTAAACAGGGTGTTCTTTCTGTATCTGAGCGCTTGGATGTAACCCAGACTGAGTGCTGTTTTAGCTTAAGAGTCAGCTGGTTAAGCAGTAGTGATGATATACAAGTGTGTTACAACAGAGAGTGAGCAGATGGCTGTCGACATCAGAGTGAGGTCATAGCCTGACCCAAACAGCTGTTTGACCTAAAGCCTAACATAAACTATAAATGCAGAGCTTTAAATCAGGCTGAATGTAGAGGAAACTCAATAATACATGTGAACAGTGAACACTGAAACTCTATATCTCACAAAAGGTACCTGAACCTAGTACAGAATGAAAGAATCTGTTTTCCTAAAGTCTAAAGAATTCTACCAATAGAATTTATATAAGCATAAATACAGTAATCACCATATAAGCAAGTCAACCCAACTCTTCTGATTTTCAAAATGTTTTGTTAAAGAAGGTGCCAATATTAACAATATCTAATACTTCATCACAGGATCTTACCTTCTGTACCCATGATGTTTATTACCAAGTTGTGCCTGGCAGTTTCGAAGGTGCGTCTGTTATAGGCAGTAATCTGCAACACACAAGGTGGAAAGTTTAAGTCCAGCTCAGAACAGCTTATGCACAGAGCACAATGCAGTAGATTCAAAGACACACAGTAACAGTGGGACAGAATTTCTGTGTGGACCTTAAGAAAACACACTTTTTTTTAAGTTAACCCTCAGTCTAGAGTTACAGTTGTATGAAAAATGATTGGGCACCCTGGTTGAATTTTGTTTTGTTGATTTTCTAAGAGAAAATATGTATGAATCCTCTACAGAGAACACACTTATGCACATTTTAACATGCAACTACTGTTTATTTGATGTATTTTACATACTGGGGAAAAAACACAAAATGTGACTTGTGTTTTGCAGCAGATGAATAGAAACTGCACTAAAATTTGCAGAAAAATGTGACACTTAAGTTCATTTTCTTTCATGGTATGTTCTCACTTAGAAAATCAACGAAATATGTAATTTAACTGGGAGTATCCAAACCCTCACATACTATTGTATTACAGGTGTTCTGTTTTACCATTTAAATACTCTAGGATAATGACACAATTAATTATATAATCAGTTACATGATGAATTACATTTACATTCTGTGATGATACTTTTGGGGTCTTAACTTCTGTCTTTACGCAATTAGTTCTATTTAACAAAATGACAGAATGTGGCAAAAATCTTTCAGCAAAACAGAACTGTATGCGCAGCAATATCATAAATTTAGAAAAATAATAGCAAATCTACTCTTCTACTTACAACCTGTCATGGTTTCCCTGGTCTGTCTCTGCTCTTTTCTGTTCCTGCCACAGTCTAGTCTACCTGTCCCTAGCCATGTGCTTCTGTTGTTGTTTTTGTTCCTATCTCCTCCCTTGTCCCATCTCCCTGTTATCTGTCTCACCTGTGTGTAGTCTGTAGCCCTAACTTCATATTATTAGACCCAGTTGCTTCTGCTTTAAGTATTTATAACCCTGTGTTTGCTTGGTATCTTGTCTTGCATTGACAATTTGCTTCTGTTCTTTGCATCGCTACTTAATATTCATCCCTATGAAGGTTTTTTAGCTCGATATTTCTCTGTGTTTAAAATAATGACCAATGAGTGAAAAATAACTCAAATACATTTTTTCATGCCTTTGTTGTCCCTGTAGATAACAGCAATTTCTACTGGTTAAGTTTTATATTAGTGGTTTTTAAAATGTACTAATTTTTTAATGTATGCTGGTAACACATTGTTATAATCACTTAAAAAAGATCACTGTTAATTGAAAGACGTGAATGATGCATAAAACGTATATTGCGTCCCTGTAAATAAAAGAACAACAATTCTTCGAGCGTTCACTCACACACCTCGATGATGGTGGGCTTGCCCACGTGTTCTGCTGTTGGGGAGCCATAGAGGACTCCATCGCTGTTTGGAGTTCTCTGGATGTAGCGAAGCCACCCTGGTCTGTCTGGATAACCCTTCAGGTTGGTGTTAAAGGTGATTGGGTCATTGCTGGTGTCCCCTGTATTCCATTTTTAGGGAAAAAAGCAATAAAGAGCTAACTTGTTGTTTTGAAGCACTACTGAAGAAAGTAATGCTTTATTTATTTGATTCAAGCATGTACATCATTTCCATGTGAATAAATACATTACATCAAACAGTTATTGCCAAAAGTAAGGTGAAAGACAAAATTGTGTTCATATATTTTATTCATGTGGGAATGATGTACACATTTAAATCCAGTAAATTATGAATCAGGAAAAATGGATTTATTTTTAAGCGCAGGCCTTTCTTATGCTCTGCATTTTTAGCAGCTGTTCTATATCTGTGACCCAGTGCTGCTGCAGAACATGTCCTTCATGAAGATATTTCCAAGTATTTCATAAGATTAAGGTCAGTCAGAGGAAATGGACTCTGCACAGACCTTTAAGTGAATAACTGAGTAAAGGAAAGTGGGCAGAATAAGCATATAGTACCTGGCTTTGGATAGGGAGGAAATTCCCCTTTAAAATATTCTCTCTCCAGCACGTGGACGAACAGCACGCCAGCTGAAGGGTAGACGTTCCGGTCCGCGTGTGACCGGGACACGATGGTGACCACTGGGGCTTGAGAGTAAAGGAGAAAGAGGCAATTAACTGTGATCACTGTGGAAAGCCAAAAATCATCCAGAGCCTGCAGGCTACAGGGAAAACCAGCTGCACAAAGAAGAGCAGACAGGGACAATGATCTAAAACTAACAAAAAAATCAGAAATGCTGCACATTAGAAATGTTCCTGGTCCAACTACAAAAAAATGGCTGGCAAAATTTCACTGCTGATGATTACATTACAGAGCATTGCTGGTATTTTCCAGCATTTGGATGGAGGTTATTGTGAGCCTTACTAAGAAATATATTAAAAGAACAACAGAGAAAGCTTTCAGATAGTTTCCATTCTGTTCCAACAAATTGAGCTAGTTCTCTCTTCTCTCCTTCTCCTCCTCTCCTCATCAAACTGCTGATGTGTGATGAGTATATACTGGCACAGACTGACTGCCATTACATGGTCCAGATGGAAGCTAATGATGTGTCTCCAATACATGTATCTATATACAGTAACTGCAATCATTCACTCAGAAAATGCTGAATTGTATCTCAGAAGAGGACAAGAAAAAATGAAATCCAATTCTATAACAGATCAAGGACTGAATTTATTAGATCTGGCATGCATAAGCAGGGTTGGGTGATATGGCAAAAACCTGATATTACTTAAAGACATTTTCACGATACATAATACGGATCACAATATTTTGATACACAGACACCAGTAGTACCACATTTTAAAAACATCATTGAAACTACCTGAAATTTAATTAACATTACACATACTCTGCTGCACTAAATCCAGTTAAAGGACTAATTATGCTCTCTTTGAAATGAAACAGACACTATCCATAACACGCTCAGAAAAGCACATCTTCTATCACAATAAAAATGTATCATGACAAGTACTGATGAGTTTTAGTGCTTTTTTCTTTTCCAATACTGATATTGAAACCTTGAGTATCAGCCAATAACGATACTGAAACATTTTTTTTCTTTAAAAACAAATATGCTTTAAAATTAGCAGTTTTTAATTACAGCACTTCCCTTTATATGAGCATCTAAAAGTAGGCTATCATCCTCAGACCACCAAACAATCTACTACCCCACAGGAAGAAATACACCGCTAACAACATGACAGTACACAGTAAAAGGTTTTCCATGCACATCCTTTATGTGACTCCTAAAGATCTGAATGGAAAAAAACGTGCATGTAAAAGCCAGAAATTTGAAAAATGTCTAAACATTACAAAAGAAATTTTTAAGCTTCGATGAGGTGGAAAACTGGTCTATCGATAAAGGAGAGATGCAAAAAACACTGATTTCCAAAAGTATTGATTCAGCAGGAAAACTCATGTTTGGCACGACGTCTTTCTCAGTACTATTTGCCCCACTGCTGTTTGCAGGGGTTCAGTGGCTAATGGCAAATTGTGACAGCCCAAAATTCAGCCCTCATTAAATGGGCTTCTGCCCATTCTGCCTGTCAAAATGCCACGTTCTGGAATTTTGCACAAAACAAGAGCTGACGTAAACACTGATTAATTGACGTTCTTTTACTGACTTTTCAGAAATTTTAAAATCTTAAAATTTGCAAAACATTTGAATGGAAACCCCACTAATGTATGTGTGTGCTATTTCAAGCCACATTTGTTACAGTACTGGATCTGATTTTTTCCTTCCGATATCCTATCCAGCATTTTCTGCTAATATCAGTCCGATAACACTACAAATCAATACGGTGTCAATGTATCTATATTCTTTTGTTCCTTTAGAGCAGGTGTGTGTTTCTCTAGGCATTGTACTCTTAGATGGCCCTCTTAAGTAAGTGCTTTAGTTAAAAATATCTTATTTTTAAGCTTAGATATTTTTAAAGAAAAATATCTTATTGGTACTCAAGGTTTTAGGTTTGTTACCAGAAAAGGTGGAAAGTGGTGCCATCTCTAACCCGCTCATTCTTAGGAGAACTACAACAGTTGTTCTACTATTCATAAGATATTCTGTTTTCATGTTTGTGTGAATCTTATCAGTGGCATTGTGCCTGTTGGATAGCAGGGCTGCGAGACACAATCTCCAGACACATTCCCACCAGCTCTGCTGTTCTGTACAGTCTCATGTGCCAAAGCACCTCCCAAAACCATCCATGAAAGAGGCATTTAACACCATTTATTTTGGTTAGATGCTTAAAGAAGCTACACATACAAACAAACAGTCATTCTTTCCTCAGGATCCATTTCAGGGTAAAGTGTCAGTCCTTGAAATGGTTTACTTTAGACTGCCAGTGGAGGCGTTGTGTGCCACTCCTCTTTGCAGCTTCTCCTTCATCTCCTTTCACTGCCTTGTTCTCCTCTCTCCTCCCGTCCGTGGGTGGGAGCTCATTTTAATCACCACGGGGAAGAGCGCTGGACTGAGGAAAAACTGCAGCACAGGGCCTCCAGACCCAACACAAAACAGCTCACAGCACACATTACCACCCACTACAGCAGAGCTGCTTTGGGTAAGCTATTCTTACACCCATAGTACAAACATCATTTCATGAGTGTTAAAATAGTTAGGTGTAAGAGAAGCTAAAAACACTCAAAATCCACACTCTGAGTTAAAACGACAACAGATTAGGCATAAAGACTGTGTTAACACAAAAATGGCATCCTATCCTACATTTTTAGAAGTATGTTACTAGAAATCTAAAAAGGGCAAATCACATATAGACAACCAATTCCTGCTCGTCTCAAATATACAAACCAGAATAGCCACTCAGAAACAACAGTCTTTGTTAGGGCTGGGTGCTGTTCAGATTTTTTGGATTCCTAGTCCTGACACATCAGGGTTAATAACATGCATCTTTCTGCAAGCTTTCTAGGGACCATTCCATATTATTTTTTAATTAATCTAATCAAATAAAATGCTAATGAGTAATGTGAGGTGAAAGATGAGGGCCGAGAAACCCCTGCTTTGAAAACAATCACGTCTTTTTATTCACAAAGATAAAAAAGAGATAAAACAGACAAAACAAGTGCAGCTTTCTTGATATCAAAAAATCATGTTCAACTATCACAGTAAAAAATCGCACACTGGCTGCTGGGAAAAGGGGTTAGGAAGCCAACCAGTAGCTGAGATTTTGGAACAGGCGTGCTTACTGGCTCACAGACTGATGAGACCAAACACAGAACTTTGGAAGGATGTGGAAGATACGCTATAAAAATGAAATACTTTGGTCAGTACCTTAAAAATATTAAATTTTAATACCCAGTCCCAGTCAGTGCTGTTGTGAATGGCCATACGGACAAAAATGAACTGCAGATATTTTCACAATGCTAATGCTAATCCTAAAGTGTATCTAGTAAGTTACTGACCATCAAAATGACCACTCCAACCCACAAAACAGCAGTGCTTCACTTGAAACGACCGACACTGTTCTACACGCCATCTTCTTCCTTCACAGAGCCACTTCTCCGAAACCGCAGCAGCTATAACAGCACTAAGGATGCAGTTCAAAATATCAAAAATCGCTGATGCTGAAAATTATTCCTTCATGTCTAAAGGAAAAGGCCTCCTAGAAATGTCATTAAGGTTCACTGGAAACAACAAAACACACTTACATACAACATAAACACACAAGAGACTGCTGAATAGCTGAATCACAAATGGTTTTACTAATGGCTATAAGTAAGGTCAAGTATTGATTTGTTTTTTCCCTGGCTGCACATGTGTCTGAAGATGTGTGCTGGGAATTGGCCCCTCGTTTACTGTGTCCACTTTAATGTGTCCATCTCAAGCACAGAAAGTTAGCCAATACACCATGCCATGGGGGCTGTAAAACAATCAGATGGGCCGATAACTGCACAAGCACAAGGCCGTGTGAAGGTGATGAACTCCACCCTATTCTAATGGATCATCCATTAATGGTTAATGCAAAACCATTTGCCACAGGCGAATGTGGAAGTGGAAACACACACATACGCATTCACTCTGCAGAATCGAGGCAAGTGCTGCAGTGGAAATGGCTAACTCTAGTTTATGCTTTTATGGGTCGACCTTGACCGGGTCTTATGGAGTGGGCCATTACGTGCCTCAGGAGAACGCGCATACCCGCTCTCTTGGTGCCACAGCCGGGGATGTCGTACTGAAGTGCCGAATCAGCTTTGCGCTGGTTTCTCTTTTCCGGTCAGGGGGAACTCATGCGCTTCAACCATTCAAGCAGAGAGAAGCAGAGGCTTATGGGAATCTGCTGAGATTCTAGACATTGCCTTATCTGTTCAAAGTACTCTTTCCTGGAAGTGAAAGTTACCCACAGAGCTGGGTCAGTCTGCTGTCACTAGGCAGCTGCCAGGAGCCATGAAGGTGCAGAGAGAGAACCTCCGGTCCACAATCTGAACATACATCAGACTCAGGTAACTGAATTTCTGCACCAGATTTGTGGGACAATCTGTTGTACTTAAATGTGAAAACCTTATCCCTAATGACTAAAGCCATACGTATGGTATGGCCAGCCTAGTTTATCGAAGCTTGCTATGAACTGATTGTAATGCATTAGCAGCAATACATTTTAACATAGTGATGAGAGTCAAATTTTCAAAAGCCCCTCCACACTGTATCCATACACAGTGTGTGAGATATTGCTTACAGTTTTTACAGGTTTATTTGTGTAAAAGGAGAACAGGACAGTAAAAGGTGACTATTCAGCAGTTTCCCAAGTGTTATAAGGTCAAAAAGCTCTGCACATAAAACAGCTGAGCCCAGCTGTGTGCCAGTGTTATGAGGAGGGGAATAAAAAGGGGGTCACACGAAACAAACCGGCTCACTCACCGCTCCTATGAGTGGCGGATCTCTGTGTGGAGTCGCCTAAAGCCTGGATCTGACTATGGCCTTTACAGATTTTGACAAGGACATAATGGACAACAAAACATATAAAGCAAGCACGTAGCCACGTTCATGAAAAAAATGACTCTCAACAGATTCTTATGCAATATAAGCCAGTTTTATTTTACACTGTGCATTAAGCTATCCGAACATCTACCAACCTAGAATCGTTAAATCCAACACTAGTCAGGTCGAAGTGACATCATTCTGTAAAATCTGGGCTTTAAGCTAACGTTAACAGGAAAACATCATTCTGTCTCCCTGTAGCAGTTAACGTTAGCAGGAACCCTGGCAAATATGTACTAATGTTACATCTTTTTAACTGTCTCAGAGACTCAATGTTTTTCTGTCAGCTCGCACTCATGAGATGAGTGATAATAACTGATCTGCGCTGGAGCTAATCCGTTACGTTAGTTAGCCAGCTAGCTACCGTTAGCCTGCTAGGATTCAAAGGGGAAAAATGGCGTTTTTTGTTAATATCAAATGGCTCAAATGGTCACATACCTAGAATAAGCCACAAGAGAACCCCCACCGAGTCCATGGCTTTTAGTCGCGATGAGTATTTACATGACAGGTGTGATTTTTCGCCTGTGCTAGCCGCACTCCTTCAGCCATAAGCATCCCCCTCGCTGCTGCAGCCCTATTGCCTCCCTCCGCCTCCGCCTCCTCCCTGGAGCACAAATACACACTCATACACTCTCTCTCATACACACACACGATGCACACCCACACCGAACATCTGGCGCAGATGCTGGAAAATCAGAAGCACCGTTTCTGCGAGGTTTCTAAGATTGAAAGCCGGAGCGGACAACGCCCAACCCCGCCTCACCGCACCGAGCACAGCAGAGCCATTACTCACAGCTCTGTAGAAAGAGAAAAGCTGCAGACCACGTTTTGCTGTGTCCCTGTTCTGTTGATTAAAGTATCCATGTCCTACATTTTCCCTGTATTTTCTTTGTGATGTCCAACAGTGATATTGGTGTGTTTTTGTACCATGACCATTTTCCAAACTTCCCAGATAGCAGACAGTTCTGGGCCAATTCTGGCTTTCATAAGCGAGTATGAATGTTAGGCATGCGGGCCAGAATAGGACCAAATCCTGTACAACTTCAAACGGTTTTGCCTCGTATCTATATTTGTGTACCAAATCTGGCGTGAATGTTGTGAACCAACAGTGTAGTTGGGCAAGGTTTGGGCCACATACATTAGCTCTACTTAATTTACACTGTGTGGGCCAGATCTGGGCAGAGGACCCACGTATACTGCGCCTGTACAAACACAAGGATGTGGCCCACAAATGGGCCAGATCAATTTTGCTATCTGGGTTTCTTTATCCCTTAGAATTAAACAGGTACCATGCCTTTAAGACTGATATATGTAAATGAGCTACGTTCTAATTGGTTGCCCTGTATTAGGCTTCACTCAAAAAGCAATCTGTTCCGAAACACTCCTTGTAACTTCAGTGTGAATGAGCAGAGCTGTCTTGCTATATCCTGATTAGGTAGATAAATGTAAATGTGTTGGTCTTTTTGACATCAAAAAAACAATGAACTAAAAATAGGCTGGCTTAGTTTCCATGTAGTGAAGTTAAAGGCACATTCTTTACCATCATTTATGTTACATCAAACTCTGTCATTTCAATGTCATTAGTTTTCCATAATGTTGGCTTTTTAATAAACAGAATGTTACAGTTGAATAACAGATACATTAAGTATCATAAAATAACATAAGCAAGAATATAGACCATTCTATTCTGTTGTCATGCCATGTCATTCTAACAAAAATGACATCAACGGCAACAACAATAATGACAATAAAAATAATCACGTTCTATTATTCTAAAAAATAATTATTATATAAATAAAAAGACACATTTAGAGGTGCAGCTCCTCCCTTTTTAGTGCTATTGAAATGTCACTGAGCCGAAATATTCTCTCAGGTCCATAACCCCTCCCCCAGGACATAAGCTCTAAAGCGGACAATGCAATAAGGTCTGTTATAATGTATTCAACCCCCTGTGGTGTGGCTGAGAAGACAGATGGTCATGCAAAGCGTCCTTTGCACCATGAGCAATGCTCCACAACTGGACAGGGCAAAAGGGGGCCAATGTGATACAGGCCTAATGATACACAGAAAAAATATTATAAGCTCACCAGTAAAAGAAATAGAAAACTTTAGCTGTTCAAACCTTTTTCATCAAAACTATTGTAAAACTGTGTATCAGGCACCAGACACCGTATTCAAAGCCATTTCATGTAATAACCTTCTGCAGTGTAGCTTTTAGAGGCTTTTAACTATTCAGACGTCTGATTTCTATCATCAGCACTGTGAACAATTGTGATTCGGTAGGTTTCTCTAGAACGGAGTGTTTTACATCAAACCACTCTGAATGACTGAATGAATGTTTCTATTTTAACTATTTAATTATGCATAAATTTTGCAAAATTGGTGGAATTCCCCTTTAAGCATTTGCACAGATTCATACATGTGAATTGTCTTCATCTTCAACTGGTGGGAGTGCAACCTTTCGCTTTTCCCCCTCTTGTCCTTAATCTACAGCCCATTTCCTGTGGTAATAGATACAGCTGTTTTATGAGTCTGAATATAGCGGCTGCAAAATTGCACAGGCCTGTTCTATACAAGCCCTAGGAAAACACACAAATGCACACTTAATTATTTTTAGGTTGCTAGGCAACATGCTCTACGTTGGCAGGAGTAGGAGGGGAAACATGCAATACCCTCCAGTGGAGTAACTCGGTTTACCACATGTATCTGTCTGTTATTCAGAACACTATTTTGTTTTTGGCAATTTTATTATTAAAAAGGTACCTGGTTCACGCATTTTGTTGTTGTAACAGTCACACTCTATGATACGCATAAACATGGAGTTTGTCAACACACAGAAAAGGCTCTTAAGCTGCTTTCAGTAGCTGCCCAGCACTACTAGCTCACCACATCTAGTGGAAAGACTAAACATTGACTTCAGCTTTGAATGAAATTCATGATAAATCGAGAAGATTGAGCTCTGGTGCTCTGGTTAACTTTAAACATATACATTACAACAGCATCTTTCTTGCTGTCCTTGTTCTTCCTAGAAGTGTATCACATACACTTCCTCTCAAAACTCCCATTCACAGTTCACAGCTTTTTCAAGCCAATCACATGCCTGTCACCCCCCACTCCCCCACCCCCAGGCTTCAGGCAGAGAGCACCACTTTCATCCATTCCTCTTATTTTTTCACGCAAAGGCATCCACCCTTATGAAGAAGTTCTACAGTAAAACTACAGGGATTTACATAGCATTTCAATAAGAATCTTACAGTAAATTCAGACAATTACTGTATAGTTTACTATAGGATACTACACATATACATTGCTGCAAGACTTTGCAAGGGCAGGATAAACTTTTTGTGTTTTGGTGATATTTTATGTCAGACTCATCATGCATAGCAATATACCCATATAAAAAACCTATAGTATTACAAGTATTTCTACAGCACTCCTATAAGAATCACATAATAAATTCTTATAGTAAGTTACTACAATTGGTATAGTTTATATAGGGTACTTCACAAGTGTTGTAGATTACTGTGCTACAGGAATATTATTCAGAGGCGAAAATACACACTATATCGTTTTACAAATATTATACAGCACTACAGAAATCTTTTAATTGCATAGAGAAGAGAAAACCTATGCTCCTCTGAATCTTATTTTACATCAGTCTTATCTATAAAACATGAATGTGATAAAATGGGTGGTGAAACAGCGTTTTTTTAGCTGAAAATGTTCATGAAAACAGCATATGTGATATTTTAATGAACTCTTACAGACGTAAACATGAAAAAAAAACTGAAATTCCTGGTTGCAGCATTAACGTTACTGTACCACAGCCTTAGCTCTCACGCTGTTTTCTTTGCCAGACTGCGGTTTGGTGGAGCGCCCCCCCTCCTCCCCCCGCCACAGATTATTGGAACGAACCATTCTCTTGTAAATAAGGTTGTACACCTGTCACATGGACCAGGCGCTTTAGTGAAAAATCAGACTTATAGACACGAAACCCAGTGGCGTTAGCACGTGAACACACTGTTAAAGATTTATCAGCGAACATAACGAGTGCTGTGTGGTTTTTAAAGGTGTTACGGTACCAGCTGCTGTGTTTGGACCCCCCTATTGGGCGAATGGCGGCATCACCCCACAGCCTGCAATGGCGTTGGCTGGCCGTATGTGTGTGGAGCCCGGCTTGTGTGTCAGATTGTTCAATGGTATGCTGAAGGACTCGGTGTCGGTGGCGGAGTCCCAGTGGTCTGAATGAAAATGATGTTTAGCCTGCGTCGTAGGGATGCGAGTCGCCCATTTTCGTCTGACTGACCACTTCAAGCGGGAATACGTCTCTGTTTCTGCGTGAGGGAACTGATAACGGCATCAGTTTTCGGACCTAAAGAGAGAGAGAGAGAGAGACAGAAAGAGAGGACGTAAGTGACCCTTTTGTTTTGAACATAGTAGCACAGCAGAGGAGTTGGGCAACAGTTACTTCTGCTTTTGAAGTCGTTTTCCTGTGGGTTCAGTTGAGCTATGATAAAATTTTAACAGACTTAACGTTGTATATCTCCAGTGTGGATGTAAAGGCTTAATAGACAGAGCTGTCAGTTATCCAGGCGACGGACGGATATAGCCTCTATGGTTTCAGCCTTACCTTTATAATGCGTCGTAGTTGTCTTAATTGGGCAGCATACACGTTTTTAGACCTTAAATGAGCAGGCTGGATATAGCCTGTAGTCTTATTAGCTCATTCCAACGGCAGTATCATTTTTATCTTCCTTCCAAGCTCGTGTTTTGCTTTTGCTGAATGGTGCAGTTTTGCATCTCTGCATTCAGCTGCTGAGCTACTGTCCAATTCCAGCCTTTTCTTTACATTGCTTATGTGTGCCCTTTCATTGGTCTGGTCGTTTAAAGAAATGGAAGATGCCAGTTCCAGTCACCTGCTCTTTATTATGAACATTAATGGGGTGATTTATGCTAAAGGCTTGACATAAAAGCTTATAGAGTCTAATGCATGAACCTAGCAGAAATCTGTATGTTAGTAAGAGCCAGGCTTGTTTCTAAGTCACAGAGATCTCCATCGATAAAGATACCCACCCATCTGGGCTTCGGCATCGCAACAAAAATATTCCTCTGTCCCTCATGGCATACTGATGATTACGCAGGACAGTCTGGCCCGGGGCGGTGGGCAGTCACACACATAAGGACACCTTCCCTCGCCTTTTGGCTAGAAGAGTATTCTTATTACGAATTCATCCCTGTACTTGCTGTCTGTGTTGAATAATGTGTGATCACAGCACATGCTTCTTAAAATAACCACGAATGCCATTTTGTTGTGCTCAGGAAGCAAGCTCTGTTACATCAGTGTGCACTCAATGAATTAGACTGCACCAAGTGCTTTTGTGAAAGATAGCCCTACCCTCCCGGGATCACTGTGCTATTAGTGTATTGATACAGTGCTGCTGTTTGCTTAGAAACATCTAATTGCACAGTATAATGAAGAAAGCCTTTTACATACCTTGTAAACACATTCCACGTCTAATGCACACTTTTTTTTTTATTCTAGGCTACTGTGAAGCCACTGAACAGAATGTGATTCTGAATCACGTAAAAAGACATTTAGGGATGCTACTGCACATTTGAGAGCAAGTATTTCCTCCGTCGTTGAGGCTAAGATGCTGAAGACGGAGGCCTCAGCAGAGAGGACTAACTTGAGGAGTGCCTCTCCGCACAGGAATGCCTACAGAGCAGAGTTCCAGGCTCTGAAGAAGGCCTTTGACCAGCCCAGGCAGGATGGTGACCCCAAGCTCAAGGATCCGGAGCGGGTCAGGCAGCCCAGGGGTCGGCAGTATGGCGCCCACGTCAGCCGGATCAAGGACATGTTCATGCAGATGGGCACTGACAATGCAGGCTCGGGCAAGACGCGCACAAGGGACGAGACTTCTCCACAGAAACTCACCAAGCCGACCAACTTTGTCAACAGAGCAGATGGTTCGGTGATCAAGCTTCAGCATGGTGAGAGAAGCGGCGGCGGCGGCCACACCTCCAAGTTCTCAGAGACGAGGAAGCTCTTTGAGCAGAGCTCCAGAGATACGTCCCAGTCTCCTGTGTACTCTTACGGCAGAGATAAGAGGGGTTCACATGAGCACCTGGATGACTGGAGGGGGGCGCGGTCCAACAGGGGCAGTACAGACTCTTTGGATAGCCTTTGCTCACGAACGGAGGCTTCTTCGCCCACCGTCAGCCAGCTTAGTGCTGTGTTTGAGAATTTAGACCAGCAAGGCTCTGGATCCTCTGTCAGGAGAAGCCATGGGGGTGGACGTGCTCTGTATTCCCCAGACAGCTCGCTCAGACATGGGGAAGCCAGTGAAGATGACACCAGTGCCCGACAGTCTCCTTCAAGAGGGATGTACAGGACCCGTGTTGGGAGCAAGCACGCCCTTCCAGTTTCATCCTCCTCAGAAGATCTTCTTAGCCCCAGCCCTTTATCAGAGGTGGTAGAACAGCCTAAGGCAGTGCAGGAGAAGAAGCTCCAAGAAAGGACTGTGGCAGAGAGCGATCATGAGGAGACTGTGGATGGATTGAGCGAGCAGAAGCAGGCAGAAGATGCTGCTGGAGTTTGCACAAACTCTATTCAAGCCAGTAACGCTACAGTCAATGACAAACCACAGGAGGATACTGACTCTGCAGCCAATAAGGTGCAGAAAGATGCAGAGGAGGGTGTCAAAGACAAGTCAAGCCGGATTACGGGGGATCAGATGGAGGAGTCCAATGAGGAATACTGTGGCAACGAGAGGGTTATTTTCAATGCAGATGGGGATGCTTGCTACCAGGGATGGGGAGAAAGCTGCACCGACTTGGAGGATGATTTGTATGGGGATGATGAGGTTAGCTATGACCCTGGATCAGAGATAACAGAAATTCCTGGTCTCCCAGAGGAGCCGAAGGAGGATATTCCTCAACGGCGGAAAATACAATTCAGCACTTCCCCAATAACAGTAAGTTTAACCCCATATCTTTACACTGTAGTCTCCACATGTAAGTTTCTGCTTTATTTTTGCGATAGAGAGTATATAGAGTGTAAAGCATGAACCTTTAGTCAAGGTAATCAAATCTGCAAGAGGCGTTTATTGGCCTTTGCTAAGCTGTGTTGAGTCACCGTCTTGCCTGATCATTGCAGTGCAGTTTATTTAATGAGCAGGCGGTGTCCTAAAGTGGCGTTTGGAGGGCCTCTCATGTCTGCAGGGAGATGTGCACACAAACAGCTGCTGCCCTAACAGTCCGTTCTGGCTCTGCTTCCTTTTGCTTTCTGCACTAATTCAGCCTCTCTCTGTTCTTCTGCACTCTGTCATGTTCATCTCAGTATTACTGTAAATGATCCAAGCCTGGTCTCACAGGATGCCCGTGAATCCTGTGTGTGTTGCATGTTCGTATGGGAAGTGTGAAGGTGGTAATTGCATTCTGCATGCCTCTGTTTGCTAAGTTGCCAGAGATCGAGTTACTCCAGTACTCTAAGGCAGTTACAATGGTGCATTTTTACTGTAGTTTTTACCAGGATATTAGTCTGAAGGATAATAGTAGAAAGCATTAGTAATCAATTTTATGTAGTCAATTAAAACCAATGGTCCATTTGCACTGCCCCCATCAGATCAATGAACTTTAATTTACCCAGTTAAAGAGAACAGCTTCATATAGTCGCAGATCAAGGCTGTACTTTTTGGACTATTGATTGGCTATAATATTGTGAGTATCTCCTCTAAATAAACAAGCCCCTGTTAACAGCAGCTATTAGAAGTAATCAGAAATGGTGTTGGGAATGTGGAAAATAAAAGCAAACAAACATTCCTCTGGTCCAGATCAATCCTATTAGCATGCTTAAGGTGTTCTGAAGAATTTCCTCCTATTTCACTCATCGGGAAAACGTGATCTTTGGCTGTTAATCCCTCTCACGTTAGCTGAAATCTCATGAAGTTATCTTGCGTCAGCTTTTGTCAGAGTAAAAGGTCAGCTACTCCAGTTACTCCTTTTTTTCCCTTGAAGTGTATCATATTCTTAGAGTTCTGTAATCAGATCACATCCCTGTGCTACTCTCAATTTGAATTCTCAGATTAGTTGGCTAATTATAAGTGAAGTATATAGGTCTTTCCTGCTGCCCGATGCCATTTTGCACTTTCGAGTAGTAAGCTAATTCAACCTAATGTTAAAATGATCATTTAAATGGCTTGAAAGTAGCTTGTGTTTAGAACTGAAAACATGTGGGCACCACTCTGTTTTAACGGTTCTGTTTTATCCCACTCCTTTTCAATATATTCATGGCCTGAAGGCTGTTGAAATGCAATTGTCCTCTTGTAGATAGGGAGTAAATAGAGAGTGTCAGCCCATTGTAAATTGGTATTGTGTCGCCTGGGTTAACAGTTGACTGGGCTGAATTGTTAAATGGGCCTTGGCTTCAGTTTATCAGACAAAGGCTGGACTTTGCTCATTAATCATATGGAATATTAAACACTGTCAGGCCACAGTCTTGTTTTGCATGCTCTAAACAAACAACAGTCTGTCTCCTGTTTGGAGTTATGAAAAGGACAAAGTGGTTTGGTAAAATGTAGCTACTCCCACCACACTAACCCAACACAAGACTGGCTTGACCCCTGGGGGAGGGCCTACTAGAAAGACTTTGGGGAGAAAAAATGTCTATGATTAATGTTTCTCAACATTTTTCTTGCTCTCGTAATATTACTCAGTGCCTTGTAAAGCGGATAAATCATTTCAACATTAAAGCTTTTAAACCTTAATTAATCTGGTGCTCTTGTAAGAGGCTGTGGTGGAGGGCTGCTCTAGTGGCTGTGGGCTATAACAGCACTCTCACAGGCCCTCTGTTCATTGAAGTAGAGAAGAGCCCTATCAGTTCCAGGGAGATTTCTACAATTTGCCATCTCATTCTGTTATAATATTATCTCTCATAAATCACATTCTGTAATTGTCCTTTCTTGTGTTTTTGGGCATTTTTTTGGCATTGATGTATTATTCATTAATTATATAGTCCTACCCTTGTAGGAAAGTAAAGATAGTCAAATAGGAATGTATTACCTGCAGCCTTCAGGGCCAACTGTCCTGGAGTCAGTCTTATTGATCTGACTTATTGTGTATGTCTTTAAATGGCTCTACTCCTCTTTTCACTGGCTTGGTCACACAGCTCCCTCAGACTCACTGAGTAATGATGGCAGCCCAGTGGCTATACTCACTGTTGGCTTTTTGTATAAGATAATTATAGAGCAAAGATGACCTACAGTATTCCAGTAGTTTTTAAAGGGCATGATGCATTGAAAATATTTGATCATGCCTATTAAAAACAAGTACATCTGTGTTCAGTAAGTGTGGCTGTCTAATTGTGCCCTGATTTGAGTGGGACATTCTGACCTTAAATGCAACATTGTTGTTGAGGGCGCCCCGATCATGAATTTTTTATTAGCCGAATAAATTTTCTTTACAGCCAAATCTCCTTTTTTTGTCCAAGGTTTATTATCTAGTTTTTGTCAAAAGCAGAAGGCAGTAAAGATAATAACATTCTTTATTTGCACTTCATCCAAAGCTCTTACTTTGTGGCCTATGTGAACACACTACTGTTAAAAAATGGTGGGTAGGTTTAACATAAAGCACTTCAGACATGAAGAGCAACCAAAAGTTTTCATATAATACATAAACTTGTAATACTTACGGGGTTCTTATTAGGAACGCACGGAGATTCATACCGGTATTAGCTGATATTTGCTTGAAAGAAATATTGGTATCCGACAGATCTTTGACAGATTTGACCGATATTTGTACCCCCATACATATAACTGAAATATTTCTATATAGTAGGTTTTTTCCCGGTATCATTTTGGAGATACAAGAATTTCTCCTGACAGCAGCGATATTTATGTATATCTATGAATGTTTGTGTTTCAGCATCAGTGTATTTGTACCCCCATACATATAACTGAAATATTTCTATATAGTAGGTTTTTTCCCGGTATCATTTTGGAGATACAAGAATTTCTCCTGACAGCAGCGATATTTATGTATATCTATGAATGTTTGTGTTTCAGCATCAGTGTATTTGTACCCCCATACATACAACTGAAATATTTCTATATAATGCTGATCCAGGTAGATGTAGGACCAATTTATATATATTTATGAATGTTTATGCTTCAGCATCCGTACTGGCATCAGCAGATATTTACATGACAAGTATTAGATACCAGCATCGGCCAACATTTCCTTTATCAGTGCATCCCTAGTTCTGAATATATCAGATGGATCCTAGTACGTTTCTGGTACTTTTTATTAGCCAAAGTAGCAACAAACAACAATTAACATAAACAGTGTGTTTAAATTTTTATTTAATGAAAAATTAATCGGCCGATTGTCAGGCACGTTAGGAGTCAATAGACCTCTGAAGTCATGCGTCATTCTATAGTCGGCGTCATTCCCATATTAGGAACTCCGGGACTAATCCGGTGATAAAAATGAATGACGTTTTCAAAAACTGCCGCTGTCGTGTCCTGTGAGAAACAGAAATGTTCCAAAGGCAATATGTTTTGTGCTGTGTACATTTTCTCCCAGAGTGTCACTGATTCCTCTGAATTACGAGGTTGTTTAGAAGTCAAAATATTAATAATATACATGCTGCAGGCAAGTTATCAATCCTGCGCGCTGAAATGAGAGGACTGGAAGGAATGGAGAGCGGTAAGGGAGAGGACTATGCTGTATTGGGCTCTCTTTAGCCAGCTTTCACACCTAGACCTGTCACATCAGATGGAGCTCAGAAAGGTTTGTTCTGAAGTGAGCCCTGCAAATGCTCAGGACAGAGTAATAACTTGCACCGTAGCATAGACCCCTACCCTGCAGGTGTTTTACGGTTCAGTTGATAAAAGTGGTAATACTTTGGACAAACAGATCATTACAGTGTGGAAGGTGCAGTAAAAAGAAAGGATGCACTTGATGCTTGTGTGGTGATGACAGATTTCTTTCATATTTGGGTGACACAGATAACAAGGCATCCTGGTCCAACCACACACAGCATGAAAGCCTCACAACTGAGAAACGAAGCTAATTAAATGATCTGCTGTAGACAAGTGCTCTGGGTGTGCATGTGCACTTGGCTGTCCTTTGTAGTGTCTATCCTGTCATCATGCTCTCTATGTGCTCCCTAAATGGCACTTAGAGGTTGTAATGAAATGTTGCATCATACAAAATTCGGCCTCTTGTTGCGACATCTTGATTCCCTAATCGAATTAAGTGGATTTGAAAGACTGGAGAGCAATTGAATGAGTGCTGAAACGACTCAGTAATTGCACACTCCACTTTCTCTGCTCCATCATTATATTATAGAAGCCTGCATACTGTCCATCTGGTCCTGTGCTATTGTGCCTGTTGTATTCTTGTGCTGAGAAATATACAGCTTTAGAAATATAAAGCTTCCTTTTATAGCTGGAGGCAGCCTTGATTATTAGCTATGACAGCTATGACAGATATGATGAGTCATATCTTTATCAGTAGGTAATTGCTTAAGAATAGTATCAGCATAGGACAAATGTTTAGATTTGACCAATATTTCAAACTGATACTTGATATTTTATTTATTTTGCTCCAGAAGGGCAGAACATTAACATGATGCTGGACTACTGTGCAAAAACCTCTGCATTTTATTCATTTTACTGTATTTATAGTTCCATAGAAATAAATGTTATATTACTCTGTAATTTGTAGTGCTAATCCTGTGATGTATATGTCTCAATTTCTTCATTTTATAAATGTTTGTTAGGGATGAACCAATACAGAAATGAGTTTTTGATGTATATTGATGCTGATACTGCTGCTGATCTATAAACATTTGTGAAAGGAAGAAAGACTAGATCTACTTGGATTAGCACTGTAAAGATTTATTTCTACAGGGTTATAAATGCAGTAAAATAAATAAAACATAAGTAAGACATTTTAGCACAGTAACCCAAAC